CATTTATTTATTTTTGAGAGACAGAGACAGCGTGAGCAGGGGAGGGGCAGAGAGAGAGAGTGAGACACAGAATCAGAAGCAGCAGGCTCCAGGCTCGGAGCTGTCAGCACAGAGCCCGATGCGGAGCTTGAACCCTCTAACCGTGAGATCATGACCTGAGCTGGAGTCAGAAGCTCAACTGACTGAGCCACCCAGGTGCCCTGAGACGTGGATTCTTAAACCCGGAAAATAGCTTTAGAGGATTTCTAGTGATTTATTCCCTGACTTACACGAAAATACTCTAAAGACTCGACCCTTAGGATGTAAATGCCACGAAGGCACGGCTGTTCTTGTCTTGGTGAACTTGTCTGTCATACTCGTTTCTAACCTGGAACAGTGCATTGCCCTTAGTAGGCATCAGTATTTGCTGAATAAATAAGGGTGCCATAGTGCTTTTCATTATGCCTAGCTCCTTTATGAGGTATAACCAGTCCTCTCTTGCTTTACACTTACCTTACACTCAGTTGTTGATTTTGTCCAAACAGGGATGGTGTGGTAAACGTTGGCCACTATCAGCCACTCATTTGACCAGTTTTTATTATTCAGTTCAGGTTATCTCAAGAGGTACTTGCTGACTACGTAAGAAAGAACACAGAACCTTGCTGGAGCACCTCTTCCTCTCTCTTTCAAGAGAGTTCTTGAGATCTCTAAGCTTATGATCTCATGGACCAATTGGACTGCAAGTGCCTGATTGTTTAGTAAATAGGGAAGTTCCTTAGCAATTGAAAGAAGAGATCAATTTGGATTAAGATGTTTATTGAATCAATTTCATATAAACCATGAAGTGTAATTAGGGTTTGGTTAGATGATATTCCCTGCATGGAAAAGCACCTAAGAAAAGATTTAAAGACTGCACTGAGCAGAGGGCTTGGAGTGGAAGATTTGTATATGGGAACCTTAGGAAAATGTTGAGCGGTGGCATGTTGTGATGAAAGCTATGTTTTAATATTATTTGTTTATCAAGGGTTTGGAGATTGCAGAAGCTTGCAAAGAGATAACCAGATACTGAATTGTTAAATGGACTTGGTTGATGTGAACCTAGATTAGTGTGTTAACAGTGGGAACAGAAAGGAAGGGTAAATTATATATAGATGAGAAATCAGCAGAACGTGGCAGCAGATTTCATGCTGACAATGGAGGAGGATAATCAAATATGACAGATTTTGAACCTGGACATTTGCTTACAAATGTGAGTTGGAAAGGGAAATCTTAGGAAAACTATAGTTGTCATGTTATTTGGTGCTATCATTTTGCTTAATTTTGAAATGCCTGCTAGGTCTTTGCCAAGTTCTAGGAATACACAGATGAATAAGGTATGATCTTTTCCTACAAAGAGCTACCTTTAATGTGGGAGAGAATTCAACTAACTAGAAATTATGGTTTGTAAGTGCTATGTTAGCTGAGTAGAGGGGAAGTGTTTGAGAAATATAAAAGGAATTATTCTTCTTGTATGTGTGATTATTTCACAGAAGAGGTGACATTTTAGCAGGATCTTGGAAGAATGGGTTGGAATATTTAGGGGGAAAAGAATACCAGGAAAAGGAAATTGCATGAACAAAGCCCAGAGATAGAAATGTAAAGTGGCCGTTATGCAGTGTATCTTGGACATCAGGTGGAGTAGAGCTTTTAATGCAGTGTCTAGGCCCTAGAACATATTAAGTGATTAGTAACATGGACACAAATTTTTTGCAATAGGTGGAATAGAGGTTAGGATGGGTGAAGATGTAATGAGATGGAGAAGAAAACAATTGGGGAAAATTGGCTTCTATAGCCTCTGCAGGGTAGATGGTGACATCATTTGCAGAGAGGGTGGAGGCTGACAGTAGAGTTGGGAATTGAAGAAGGTGAATAAAGATTTGCAGCACACTGATGGGGAGTAGGAAGGGGTCCTCAAAGGAAGTGTTAAAGGATTGCGGAGCAACACTGAAAGTCTAGCTTTGACTGGATTTAGATACTTGTAATGAATGCAGTGAACATGGACATATGGCCTTCTTGTGTGGTATATGGTATCCCATGAGAAGTGGAGAAAAATACAGTTCATGGAAATTGATAAAACATGGTGAACAAGTCCACAGAGTAAGATAATTGAAGGAGACACTGTGGGTGAATGCTACCTGCAGGCTAAGTGGAAAAGAAATTAAGCTCGGAGAGGCCAGGTAGATGATAACAGGAAGGAGAGGTAGGTCAGAAGACTAGAGGCTAAGATGAGGTGAAAAAGGAATGAAAGTTGGAAAATGTGATTTTTTGTGAGAAAAGCAATTTTCTGAGTTGGAGCAGAGATCGAAGTTTCACAGATTGAGTAAAGTATAGGTGATAACCTAGTTTCCAAAAATGGCATCATATTGTAAAAATTCATTCTGTGTCATTTATTTCAAACTCATAATTTCTTCGTTTTCCCATATAAAGGGTGTTAGAAGTTAATTTCCTAAGCACGCTTACCTGTATGAAGTATTACACATTTACATTGGAAATAGTAATATATACACAAATATATATATTTCAAAATAAAGTTGAAAAGACATTTTTAAAAATATCTAACTTAAGTTGATATTTGAAAAAAGACATTGAGTTAAGTGAGAAAAAGGTAAGTGGAAACCTATTTCTTTATGATAGCTTTATTGAGATATAATTCATATGCCATAAAATTTACCCACCTAAGCATATAATTCAGTAGTTTTTAGTATATTCACAAGGTTATATAACCATCAGTACTAATTCAAGAACATTTTCATCACCCAAAAGAAACTCCTTTCTCGTTAACAGTCACTCCCCATTTCTCCTTGCTCCTACCCCTAGCAACCATAAATCATTCTGTCTTTATGGGTTTGTCTACTCTGAACATTTCATGCAAACAGAATCATAAAATATATGGTCTTTTAACTGGCTTCTTGCACTTAGCATAATATTTTCAAGTTTCATCAGTGTTGTAGCATGTATCAGTATTTCATTTCTTTTTAATGACCAAATAACATTCCAATGTGTAGATATTCATTTTGTTGTATCAGTTCATTAGTTGGTGGATATTTGAGTTGTTTCTATGTTTTGTCTATTGTGAATAATACTGCTATAAACAACATTTTGTGTGGATGTATATTTTCAGTTCTCTTGAGTATATACCTAGGAGTGGAATTACTGGATCATATCGTAATTTTATATTTAACTTTTTGAGGCACTGCCAAACTGTTTTCCAAAGTGGCTGCACCATTTTACAATCACCAACAATGTATGAAAGAGTTCCTTTTTCTCCACATCTTTACCAACACTTGTATTTTTAATTTTAGCCATTCTGGTGGGTATAAAGTGGTAGGTAGATACATATTTGATTTTGGTTTGCATTTACCTAGTGGTTAATGATGCTGAGCATCTTTTCTTGTGCTTATTGGCCATTTGTGTATTTTCTTGGGAGAAATGTCTATTCAGATCCTTTGCTCAGTTTTTAATTGGGTTATTTGTTTTTTTTATTGTTGAGTTATAAGAGCTCTTTATATAGAAAATTAATATTCAAAAATTGAGCATGGGTTTTTTTCTTAAAAAAATTTTTTTTGTATCATAGTATTTGCTAAGCACGTCTAAAGATTTTAAAGTTTGATAACACTGGTTCTCTAATTTCCTTTCCAAACATAAAGCTTTTTATTTTTATGGTATAGATATGTTGATGTATTAAATAATTCTTCCTATGCTTATTAGCTATAAATAAGATCATTTTTTAAATTACAAATGGGACAATGAAGGACAGAATGATTTTGAGAATAAGCTCAATATCTATACTCTCAATTTTTTTAGCTGATTAAAAATGACAGCAATCAAGCATGCGTTACAAAGAGATATTTTTACACCAAATGATGAACGCCTGCTGAGTATTGTCAATGTCTGCAAAGCAGGAAAAAAGAAAAAGAACTGTTTTCTGTGTGCCACAGGTGGGTATTTAGTAAGAAAAAGCTCTTGTTTGGCATTCTTTTATTGTTTTAGTCCCTAGGGGACTTTTCCTCCTTGTTTTTAAAATTCTCATTGTCTCTATAATTGGAAAAACTGTTGGGCCAACAAATTCATTTTTTTAAATTGTGTTTAATTAAGGGGTGCCTGGGTGGTTCAGTGAGTTAAACATCTGACTCTTGATTTCGGCCCATGTCATGACCTCACACTTTGTGAGATTGAGTTGAGTTGGGCTCTGCAATGACAGCACCAAGCCTGTTGGGATTCTCTCTCTCCCTCTCTCTCTGTTCCTCCCTCCCTCGCTGCCCCTCACTGCCTCCCCTCTCAAAATAAATAAATAACTTAAAAAAAATTGTCTTTAATTAAATATTGAGTAGATACCAAAAAATCTATGCCATATATATAAGGTGTGAAGACTAGCCATACAGTGAACACGTGTGCTCACTACCCAGTATAAGAAGAATATTACCATTACCTTTGAAGTGTCCTGTGTGCCCTTTCCATTAAAAAAAAAAAAAGTTGTTTTTTTTTTTGTTTTTTTTTTGAGAGAGAGAGAGAGAGAGAGCACATGAGCTGGAGAGGGGCAGAGAGAGAGAGGGAGAGAATCCTAAGCAGGCTCCAAGCTGTCAGTGCAGAACCCAATGTGGGGCTCAAACCCATGAAACCATGAGATTATGACCTGAGCTGAAACTAAGAATCCAATGCTTAATCGACTGAGCCACCCAGGCATCCCCTGTGTGCCTTTTCCTAATCCCATTCCCTTTGCTCACTTATTAAGAGGTAACTGGTATCCTGAATTTTGGTTTAGTCTTTCCTTGCTTTTCTTTATCATTTTACTATCTGTCTGTATTTGTTTGTAATCTCAGATAACATATTGTTTAGTTTTGCGTTTCTTTGAAATTTGCATGAATTGAATCCTAGTGCACATATTCTTTTGTGACTTTTTCCACTCAACATTATGTTCATGTTCATGACTTTTATTTCCGTTCTTTCATATAACCATAATTCTTTGATTTTCACTCCTATGAGTGTTCTACTCTATGAGAGTACCATTTATTTACACATCCTACTAGTGATGAACATTAGGTTTGTTTTCAGGTTTTACTGTTTAGACAGCCCTTCTGTGAGCATCTTTGTCCTTGTCTCTTAGTGTATACAGGCAAGAAGTTTCTAGGGTAGATACCTAAATGTGTGATTGTTGGATTATAGGTATGTGAATGCTCAACACTACTGTACTACCAGATTTTTTTCAAAAGTAGTTACACTGGCTTTCAATCCCACAAGCAGTGTGTATTTTGTGTTCTTTCCCCACATCCTAGCCAAAACTTGGCTTTGACTTAAGCGTGTGAAATATCTCATTGTGGTTTGAAATTTCATTTCCCTGTTAATAATGAATTGGTGAATTAAATCTTTTCATGAGTTTATTGGCCACTTACTTTCCTTGTTTTAGAAATCTGTCTTAAAGCCTTTTGCTCATTTCTCTCTTGTGTTGGTTGTCCTTTTACTAATTTGTACAAGTTCTGTATATTTACTGATTTTATGTTGGTTATATGCATTCCAGTTTGTGCTTTGTGTATTAGCTTTTTATGATGCCTTTTAATGAAATTTCTAAGTTTAGTAAAATCAAATCAATCTGATCCTTTATGGCTTCCGCTTTTGTTTAAAAATTTTTTCAATGTTTTTGAGAGAGAGAGACAGACAGAGCACAGGCAGGGGGAAGGGGGAGAGAGAGGGAGACACAAAATCCGAAGCAGGCTCCAGGCTCTGAGGTGTCAGCAGAGAGTCCAACATGGGGCTTGAACCCAGAAACTGTGAGATCATGACCTGAGCTGAAGTTGGATGCTTAACCAACTGAGCCACCCAAGTGCCCCTCAAATATAAGTGTTTAAAATATAGACGTATGTATGTGTATGTATATATATATATATATACATACACATACATACACATACATACATACACACTTCCCTGGAGTAATAAAAGTATTCTCCTACACTGTATTTTAAGATTTTTATAATTTTGGGGCACCTGGGTGGCTCAGTCGGTTAAGCGTCCGACTTCAGCTTAGGTCATGATTTCACAGTTGATGAGTTCGAGCCCCGCGTTGGGCTCTGTACTGACAGCTCAGAGCCTGGATCCTGCTTTGGATCTGTGTCTCCCTCTCTCTGCCCCTCCCTGCTCACACTCTGTCTCTCTCTCAAACATAAACATTAAAAAAAATTAAAATTTTTATAATTTTGCCCCTCATGTTTTAGTTTTTAATTTAACTGTGTCCGTGTTTGTAGTGATGAATGTGAGTGTGCCTATTTCTGGGTTCTCTTTTATATCTGGTTTTTATTTTGTCTTGTTTTGATTGTTTATTTTTCCACTTATTTTAGAATCAATTTGATAAGTTCCAGATTTTGTTGGGATTTTAATTAGAATTGTTTTGAATATGTTGTTCAGTTCGAAGAGAACTTGCACTTTCATAATATTGAGTCATTTTGTCAATGGACAGGGTGCAGTTCTCCATTTATCTAGGTCTTCTTAATGCCTTTCAATAAGTTTTAGCGTTTTAAAAATTCTTTTTTTAATGTTTATTTATTTTTGAGAGGGAGAGAGAGTGAAAACAGGGGAGAGGCAGAGAGAGGGAGACACAGAATCTAAGGCAGGCTCCTGGTTCTGAGCTTGACAGCCTGACGCAGGGCTCGAACTCACGAACTGCAAGATCATGACCTGAGCTGAAGTGAGATGCTTAACTGATTGAGCCACCCAGGCGCCCTAGTTTTAGAGTTTTAAAAGGCTTTCAAGAAGTTGTATAGTTTTAAATGTTTTTCACCTATGTTGTATTTATTCCTAGATTTTTTGATACGATCATAAATAATTTATTAGCATTAATATATTTTTGAAGTTTATTTTGAGAGAGAGAGAGTGAGCATGCACATATGAGCAGGGAAGAGGCAGATAGAGGGTGAGAGAATCCCAAGCAGACTCCATGCTGTCAGCCCCAACTCCGGGCTGGATCTCCCAAACTACGAGGCCATGACCTCAGCCAAAATCCAAGAGTCAGATTCTTAACTGACTGAGACACCCAGGCACCCCAGCATTAATACATTTTTAAGACTTTAATTTTTTAGAGCAGTTTTAGGTTTACAACAAAATTGAGGAAGGAGGTACACACATTTCCCTATACCCCCTGCCCCCACATATGTTTGGCTTCCCCCTTTATCAATACCACTGGCAACATTGGCAATAATTTGTTACCAAGAATGAAGCTACATTGACACATTATAATCACTCAAAGACCATAGTTTCCCTTAGGGTTCACTCTTGATGTACATTGTATGGGTTTGGACAAATGTATAATGGCATGTATCCACCATTGTAATGTCACAGAGTATTTTCACTGCCCTAAAAATCCTGTGTGTTCTGCCTGTTCATCTCTTCCCCAGCCCCTACCCTTTCCAACCACTGTTCTTTTTACTGTTTGCATGGCTTTGCCTTTTCTAGAATGTCATATAGTTGGAATCAGATACTATTTAGCCTGCTCAGATTGGCTTCTTTTACTTAGTAGTATGCATTTACATTTCCTCCATGTCTTTTCATGGCTTGATAGCTCATTTCTTTTTAGCACTGAATAATATTCCATTCCTGAGTGTACCAGTTTATTTATCTACTCACCTACTGAAGGATATCTTGACTGTCAATTTGACAATTATGAATAAAGCTACTATAAACACCCATGTGTGGATTTTTGCATGGACATAAGTTTTCAACTCCTTGGGTAAATACCAGGGAGTATGATTGCTAGATCATATGGTAAGAATGTGTTTAGTTCTGTAAGAAACCACCAAACTCTCTACCAAAGGGGCTGTACTGTTTTGCAGTCCCACCAGCAATGTTTGAAAGTTGTTCCACATTTTTGTCAGCATTTGGTGTTGTCAGGTTCTAGAATTTGGCCATACTAATAGGTGTGTAGTGGTACCTCGTTGTTTTAATTTGCATTGCCTTGATGAAATATGGTGTTGAGTATCTTTTCATATGCTTATTAGTTATCTGTATATCTTCTTTGGGGAAGTGTCTGTTAAGGTCTTTGGCCATTTTTTAATCTGTTTTTTGTTTTGTTTTGTTTTCTTGTCAAGTTTTAAGAGTCCTTTGTATATTTTGGATAACATTCCTTTATTAGATGTGTCTTTGGCAAATTTTTTTTTTTTTTTTTTTTTGCAGTCTGTGGCTTGTCTTCTAATTATCTTGATGTTGTCTTTTGCAGAGCAGAAGCTTTTAATTTTATTGAACATTAATACATTTTAAAAATCATTTATTGTTAGCATCTAGAAAGAATTGGTTCTTTATGTGGATTTCTATATCTATCAATCTTGCTAAACTTTCTTATTAATTCTAATAATTTGTCCATACACTCTTTGTAAATAGTGATATTTTCTTCCTTCCTTTATAGTCTTTATATTTTTTATTTATTTTTGTTACTTTTGTCTGCTGGTTAGGACCATCAATACAGTGATCTCAAAGGGATTATCATATATGATAATTGCGGTTTTTTTGTAGCTGTCCTTGACGGTACTAGGGAAGTTCCCTTCTATTCCTGACTTCTTACTTTTTTTTCTTTTTGATTTTTTATCATGAATGGATGTTCAGTTTTATCAAATGCTTTTTCAAATCATTGAGATTATCATATACTTTTCTTCCTTAATTTGTTAGTGTGGTGAGTAATGGTACTTGGTTTTTCAAATAATAAATTGAGTTATTGGAGTAACCTAACTCAGTGACGTTGTACTATATGCCATCTATTATAGCATATATTATTTTTTTATGCACCACTAAAAAATGCTGCAATATTACTTCGATTGTTAAGATATATTCTGATTTCAGAGATGTTAAAATGTGGGAAAAAATGTACATCTCACACTTGGTAAAATATTATCTTTTGTATATGCCCCTGAATTAAGTTTGCCAATGCAGTATTTATTCATAATTATTTGTACATTTGTAGTTATAAGATTTTTCACCCATGTTCATTAGTGACATGGTCTTATAATTTTCTTTTGTATACTGTCTTTGGCCTTGCAACCAAAGTCATAAGGTAAGTCGGGAGTGTTCCCTTGTTTTTTGTACAGTGGAATAGTTATGTGCATTTGGAATGTTTCCTTGGAAAGCTTGGCAAAAGGTACCAGTAAAACTGTGTTAGACTAAGTTTTGGGGGAGAGATTTTTCACTTCACTTTCTTTAGTGGTTGTAGATTTTCTATTCTTAAGTCATTTTTGGTAATTTACATTTTTTAGAGATTTAACCACTTCATCTAAATTTTTTAATGTATTGGTATTCACTCCAATCCATCCAGTATTCTGCTGCTAGAGTAATTTTTAGAAACAAGTTAGAGCATATCATTTCCCCAATTAAAATCCTCTAAGAGCACCCCTACAACCTCAGATAAAGGTCCTTTGTGATCTGAACTTTCATCTTTTTTGGTAACTTTGTTTCCATCCACTTTATTACATGTATAATCCATACTGAACTACTTATTATTCTCTGAATCGGTGTTATGCTCTTTCAAGCCCCTTTGGCTTTATGTATGGCAGTCATTCTTTTTTTTTTTTTTTTAATTTTTTTTTCAACGTTTATTTATTTTTGGGACAGAGAGAGACAGAGCATGAACGGGCGAGGGGCAGAGAGAGAGGGAGACACAGAATCGGAAACAGGCTCCAGGCTCTGAGCCATCAGCCCAGAGCCCGACGCGGGGCTCGAACTCACGGACCGCGAGATTGTGACCTGGCTGAAGTCAGACGCTCAACCGACTGCGCCACCCAGGCGCCCCTGCAGTCATTCTTTAGAGTTTTTCTTTAAAAAGTTTATTCATTTATTTTGAAAGACAGAGAGTGAGCACATGTGTGCAGGAGGGGCAGAAAGAGAGAGAGAAAGAGAGAGAATCCCAAGCAGGCTCTGCACTATCAGCATGGAGCCCGATGTGGGACTCGAACTCATAAACTGTGAGATCATGACCTGAGCCGAAATCAAGTGTCGGATGCTTAACTGACTGAGCCACCCAGGCACCACTAGGACTCTTTTTATCTACCTCATACTCTTCCTTCAAAACTGGTCTGAAGCTTTACTTCTCAAGGAATCTGCCTCTCTGACCCTGTCATCTGAGATTTAGATGTTCCTTTGATACTTTGTGCATCCCTCAGTCATAGCATGTGTTAGGAAATACTACTCCTAACTGGTTTAACATAATATATAATACTGGTTTAGTATCATGTACAGGCACCTGACAACTGTATTTGCAATGAGTAAATGAATGGATGAAGAATAAGTGAGTGACTATTTCTAGTGAAAGTATGTTTTACTCAACAGTGACAACTGAACGCCCCGTGCAGGTGAAGATGGTCAAAGTTAAAAAATCCGACAAAGGAGATTTCTACAAAAGGCAGATTGCTTGGGCCCTTCGAGACCTTGCTGTGGTAGATGCCAAGGATGCTATTAAAGTACGTTTTGCTTAGTTCTTTGACCTGTGTTCAGAAAGTGTCTTTCATCTTATAACATAGTATTATGTCTTCTAAGATGACCTACACTTCTTTTGTGACCCTCTGCTCTACCAACTAAGCTGGAATTAGTTTAAAATGTATCATTAAATCTTTCATTTTCCACACCTCAGTCTCAAGCAACTAAAATAAAAACGTATGTATGTTTCATTGTTTTTACTTTTTTTGAGCTACAATTATGTTTGTGCACAAGTTATGTAAACTGGAGCAAAATAACTAGGTGTTTCTATATTTAGATTAGATTATAGATTTATATAGATTTATATAGATTATATATTTAGTATAAAGTCTATATATAAGTACACCTTTTAAAGTGTCGTGTGAGTGGGTTTTTAAAAACCTTCATTGTTTTGGTAAAACTTAGTTCAAAATGGTGTGTAATACTATAACCAAAGTGAATCTTTCTTAGTCTTCACAAATTAATGTAAAATCATCATCTGAGGCAACCAGGCTGGCCTTTTGAGACCATGTTTTCATATTTGTGGCTCAAGTAAAGGAAGCGATAGTGAGTTAAACACCTTATTTTAAGGAACTTAAAGACTAAGATATAAGAATGTAAATATTACACTTCTCACTTAAGCCACACTCAAACTTTAAGAAAGTTGAATAATGTGACAGTCATGTGAAAGGACCACATTTATTTCCGACAAGTCAAGGCTTTTCACAGCAATACCCTTTTTTCAAAGAAACCAAGTGGAGCTCTTCTGGTTAAGTTAGGTTTTCCTTCCTCCTCAGCCTCTCTAACCTTGCCCCTCATCTTCCTCTGCAACCAACGGCACCTCCAGGGATCTGGGAAATGTTTTGTGATGGGTTGATAGCAAGGCTTACATTAATGTAATTTCAGATGCCCTTTGATTTAACCCTTCCAGTCTCACACATTTATTTTTAAAAGGTCCAGAGATGTAAAAGCTACCTCTGTAGAATAATCCAATAAAATAAAAGTCTGACTTTGTCCTTATCCTGGGACAGACTTCTGGGGAACTAAAAGCTGGACAAAATGACAGGCAGTTGAGTCAGGTGAAAAATACTTTTTAAATGAAGCAAAAACAACTTCCGGGGAGCTTCATGTATCTAAAATATGCAATTCAGAATTCAGATTTCTAACATATGTAGAGAATGCCTTTCTATAAGTATTTTAGGCACAGTGGGCCATTGCTTTATCCCTAAGGGGCACCCAAAACACTTCAATAAACTATTTAATAAATTCTGTTACCATGGGAAAAGATCAAGAGTAGAGACTTTTTTGGTAGGTTTCTGGTTAAGAGAAAATACTGTAAGGGCTTTTTAGAAATGCGTCTTTATTAAAGAGGCTTTTTCCTTCAATAGTTTTGCACTTTATAACCCCATTGACTTGCATAATTCACTAACATTGCTGATGCTTATTTGTATGCTTTCTCACAGCTGATGCCTCATTGCTCGCTTTCTTAATGGATTTTTTTTTTCATTTTATGTAGGCACCTTGGCGTGTGTACACTATATATGGATATAAAACATAAAATTTTTATACATAGCCTAACATTAGCCATTTAGTGTCACACATTGATTTGTGTGAGTGTTGCCACTGGAGCACTCAGCTTCTTTTATGGCATTATGGGAAATATTCCCAGGGAAGAGATCATTTCCCATCAAGTTTTGGATTAGTTGCCAATACTCTTAGGTTTTTTTATAAGTAATAATGCAATTACCTCTTCATTATAAATGCCAATTTTTTATCTTTTGATGCTCCAATTCTGCTTATTGATCTAATTAGTAGTTCCATGCTACCATAATGCTATTGTTGTACCAGCTCAAGTCCTGATACCTAAATTATCCCAAGTTTTCACAGTGAAACTCTGATATAACTTCACTTACCTTTTAGGCATTTATTTACATTTTGTCCTTCCGTAAATAACACTTTGAATTAATTGAATATTTTATTATCTTCTCATAGAACATTAAGAACATTTGAATCTATTTTTTAATTCCTTGGATGTGAAGAACAGCATACATCCATATGTTTTCATCTTTTATATGACAGGTGATTCTACATTCAAGGGAGAAATAGTAGGCTGGTATGAAGTTACTGCTGCAATGAGGCTTAAGAAATAGAGAGAGCATGGTGCACTTCTCTCACAAGAGTTGAGCTTCTTTGTCATTCGAAAGAACTTCCAGGCTAACCAGAACTTTTTATTTTTGAGGCACCTTTAATTATTCTCTATTTTCAAAATTGAGAATTGAATCAGTCCATGCTTTTCATCTCATTTGTTCTCAGAAACCACACTGGGATGTAGATTGTATTTTTTCTCACATGTTGTGTATATAGAAGATATATTCTTTACGAAGGATTTAGTGTCAAATTACAGTTATGAATAATAGTGCATTATCAAAGGATAGGTATGACTCTAAAACCCCATAGGCAATTTAAAAAGAAAAATTATGACCACATCAAAATTGGAGACCATTGTCACCTCATAGACTAGGAAGCTGGGACACAGAGCTTTACCATCTTAAACTTCCACTCATATACTTCAGGGGCATAGGAAGGAAATTACTAAAACACTCTGTTGTTTTTTTATCCAGCTTCTTTTGGGAGGTAAACAAAGTTTTTCCTATAATTGAATTCTCTGAATCATTTTCTGTAAGTCACTTGGCTGATTTTTAATGGTGATTTTTTTCTTTAAGAACAGCTTCAGCTTTTCATTTTATTGAATGTCAATTTTATAATAATGAAAAAGGGATATGATCAAAAAACAATATCTTTTGTATATTTTTATTTCAGGAAAATCCTGAATTTGATTTACATTTTGAAAAAATATATAAATGGGTTGCCAGCAGCACTGCTGAAAAGAATGCATTTATTTCATGCATTTGGAAATTGAATCAGCGATATCTCCGGAAGAAAATTGATTTTGTCAATGTTAGCTCACAGCTCTTGGAAGGTAAAGTGAAATAAAAATGTATATGTAAAATCAAGTATATCTACAAGTGTATATATAATTTGACATTACTCAAAATTATTAGAACACTGATTTACCTTATATTGCGAAGGAAATGAAAAGTAACTTTTCTTATTGCATAAGTGATACTTATTATAGAAATTGATACATTAAACTAACTAAATAAAAATCACTTATAAACTTAATTCTCAGAGATAACTGCTGTTAGCGTTTTGTTAGTCTTCTAATGTTTTTTCTATGCATGTTTAAACACTTTTAAAACAAGGAAATTCACATTCTGTTTTCTAACATACTTTTTTTTATAATGAACATTTTTCATGTTATTAAATACATTATTTTTAGTGGTACCATAGTATTCCATTTCATGGATATACCATAATTTATTTAATCATTTATTTTAAAATTTCCAAATTTTGCTTATTTTAAACAGCTTTGACATGAATATCCTTGTAGCTGTATTTTTGTGCAGAGTGTAGGTATAGTAATCAAGAACACAACTTGAGTCAGACTGATTGGGCTTAAATCCTGGTTTTGTTACTTACCAATTATGTGACTTTGGGTTATTCTATGTTTCAATTTTCTTTATCTCAGAAATAGAGATAGTAATAGTATCCTCCCTGTAGTGTTGTTGTGAGGACTGAGTGACTTAACATATGAACATGATGAGAACAATGTGAGGTATATAGTAAGTGCTCAATAAATAGTAGCTATTATTATTATATTATCAGGGTAAAATTCTTAGACATGAGTTAAATAGGATATTTTTGATCAGTGTTTCTTCAGGGATGTTACTATGGATTATTTTGTGTTATAAGACAAAAACTCTGCTGTTACATATTAAAAGTGTACAGTAAGATTTTATTATTTTAAAATTTCTTTCATAAAGACATAAACATTGTAAGAACATGGTTCTCCATGCTTTGGGGATACAATTTGTGTTGTATTCTTTATCTCAAAGAAAGCAGTTGAAATAACAGCCGGTATGCAGGTGAAAGTTGTTTCTCCTCTTTATTGATGAAAAAACAGATTTGTCCTGCATAATATATATTAGAAAGAATATTTAAATTTGTCCTAAGCTATATATTAGCATTTTAAAATAGGACCTTCATTCTGTTTGGTTGAAACATCTGAAGTAGCCAATATTCAACCATTTTGACCTATAAAAACGGCAGCTTCAGATGCTTCAAACTGTTCATTTACTTAGCCACTTGCCTCTGTCTTTTCCCTATTCTGTTTTACTTCTTCCTTTTCTGTTTGACTGTGGATATTTCCTCTGAAATATAGTACTGTATTCTTTCCCAACACTTAGTAATTAGTAAGCCCGTTACTGGTTTCAGGTTTGATGCTTGAAACTGGCAGAGGCAAGTCACATCTGTTAGGTCTTGTGCTACGCCCACCAGTAGGGCCCCTGTGTAGGAGCCCGCAGGGCTGGCATCTCACCAACATTAGACCCCAGTGTCTTGGCAGATGAGTATGTTGAGGGAATGACCATCAAGAAATAGATGGTAATTTTTCATTCCTTGAATAGTGGTTTAATTTGTTTTGAGTGGCATTTATTTATTTATTTATTTAGCCATTTCAGGTTGAACAATTTGATGAGGGAATGATTGCTATTCTGTTTTTAATTGTTGTGTATCTCCAGAAGTTATTCATTGCCTATGATGTGTTTTAAACCAATACATTTTATTGAAGCAATGGTATGGGAAAATATGTACACTACCTGGTTTCCCTTATTAAGAAATATTACCATAATCAGTGAGAAGAATATTGCTGTTTTTTAGAACGAAGTGTCTAGCTTTTTTAAAAAAAGAAAGGCATTTAATTTTTTAGGGCCTAAAACAGTGTAGACATTTTCATGTTTATAAAAGTTATCCCTAATTCAAATCAGTTTTAGGAATACTGTGAAGATCCTTAAGGATCTCATTTTGAAAATCATTTCCTGTAAACCAATTAACTGTTGCTTTGGTTTAGTGGAGTTCAGAAAATATCTTTTATTAATGTTTGCACACTTGTTTTAATGTTTTAAAGAATTTTTAAATCATAGCCGTTGATTCCCATTAAAATAATAAACGTGTCTAAGCTTTGCATGATATTAGAAAACAAATAAGAAATTATCACCATCTACTTTTAAGAGATAAATAATCATCCAAGTAAGATTTCATTGTGAATTCTAGCAGTGTCGACTTTAGTGGTTTTTTTTATTGGTGACAATTGAATGTTTATGCTAGTAAGTGGGGCTTCTCAGCAGAAGGTTTTTAAAGGAGGATTTTGTTAGCAATTGAAGTAGAGTCAAGTTTTTGTTGGCTTTTTCTTTTTCATTATTATAACCAGATTAAAAAAAAAATCTTTGACTTGAATCCTGAAAAGCCAGTTTGAACTGATATCTCATGTGGTTTTTTAAAAAATTGTTCTAATCTCGTCTTTTCTAACAGTGTTTTATGACTAATCTATTGTGAGGGAATGTCTGGGTAAAGTTTTTGGGCCTTCAGTGAAAATAACTAGACTAAATGCATGAGTCACAGCTGACCTAAAAATAATTCCCAGGAAATGATCTATTTCCCAGTTTTCTCCAAGGACTAGTCAGTGCTATGTCTTAAAAAAAAGAAAATAGAAAGATAAATTTATTTTTAGTCATTATCAGAAAAAGAATGAGGGAATTAACTCTGGAAATTTAGCTTCTATGGATCTTTTCACTTTGTAGTTGATTTGGACATTGTCTTTTAAACTTCAAGGTATCAGAAGTTCAAATGAAATATGGGTAGTATTTAAAAATTTTAAACCTGTATACTTTTCTACCCAGCTAATATTCTTTGCTTACTTTCCTCTGCTTTTTTCATACCTTTTTACTCTCCAGAACTGCCTAAAGTTACAGAAGGTGCGTAACACCTTTTCTTCTTATTCTATTCCATATATTTTTACTACTTGCCATTGTTATGTACTGTTTGCATATTTTATGAAATTGTGCATAGGGACAAGTTTATTACCACAAAATCCATATAGTAATAAAATTAATGATAGGATTCATTATTGACCTCCAAAGGACTATTTCATGGAAGAGAAAATACTTCTGAAGCCGTTATGATCACTTAAAGTATTTGTTTATTTTAAATATCCACTTGTGTAAGGAGCTATACAGAATGATTTGGGCAGTTCCTGCCCCCTAGTGGCTAATAAACTGTCAGATATGACAATTTAGCATTTCCACAGTGAACTAAAATGGACTTGTTCAGAGGACAAGGAGCTAAGTGATGCCTGTCTGAAGAACTTATATACTGTAATCTGTAATTGCCTGTACCAAAAGTTTTATTCCCGTCCTTTTTTTTTTCTGGGACATTATCTAAGACTGCCAAATTATTTTTCTTAGGAGCAAATCATTTATTACTTTGAATTGGTTGTTTTTTTCTAGAACAAATTAACATATGCCAAGTCATGCTGAATATAAATATTCATTTTCATACAAAATAATGAATATTTAAAGTGTCCAGAGGTTGTGATTTAAATTGTGTCCCGTTAAGTTTATGAAAATCAGTAGCTTTATTTAGAGTTTTATTTAAGGAGTAAAAAAAATTTTTTTTTCACTTTACCTCTCCTGACCTCAAGCTTTACATAAAATTCCATTAGCTGACTGTATTTTGTCAAAAAATTGAACTGGAACATTTATCCAGAAGACATCTCACATTTCATCTCTTGGTCTTTTGTTAAGACATGAAGACCATTTAAATTTTTGTAATTTCAAATAGCCATATTATTGTTGCTCTTGTTCCTACAGACTTGTTGAGAATGTTTTTATACCTGATCTTTAGAAATTTTATCAATGCATATGAAAATTTTTTAAACAAAGAAAAGGAAAATTCAGTTAATATTTTCAATACCCAAAATGTGAATGCATTTTTCATTTCAATTAAAATTTATTTGAAAAAAAAAAAACCATAATAAGGACAAAAAGAACAGAAGAAAAATGTTACCCAGGGGAAAAAAAGGAAAGGAAATTCTTTTTTATTCCTTTATTCATAATCATTGTTTTATTAGTGAAACAACCACCTCACATAGGAAAAATAGATTGGGCACATGTTTTGTTTCTGGTTTTGTATTTATTTTTTTTAGTTTAATTATATTTGGGGAAATTGTACTAAAGCCTGTTCTAACACTTATAAGTGAGTGAATTAGACTGCATGCTTTGTATTTGTTATAATAATTGTTATAGTAAACATTATATTAACATATGCAGTCTTTCATAAAAATAAGAGGTTTTTTTTAATATTCTAAATCATTTTTTCCTATTTTTCAGCCATTAAATGTGACCTGTGCTTATAACTGACTATAAGTACCATGTTACTGTCCTTCCTACTTTTTTACTACTTAATTTTTTATTTTTACCCTTTTAAAGAATCTGTTCCAAGTGGAGAAAATCAGAGTGTGACAGGAGGTGATGAAGAAGTAGTAGATGTTTACCAAGAGTTAAATGCAAGAGAAGAGCAGGATATTGAAATAATGATGGAAGGCTGTGAATGTGCAATCTCTAATGCTGAGGCCTTTGCAGAAAGGTTGTCCAGAGAGCTACAGGTGCTAGATGGGGTAAGACTTTTTTACAGTCTGTGAGTGAATGATGTGTAGTGGATTGAGAAGACTGGGGATCTTCAAATTTTACTGCCTTAGTACTTAAGCCTTTATAATGTGATTATTGCCATCTTTCTCTGTAAGCACATTACCAGATGCCATGTGTCTCACTGTTCTTGTTCAAAAGACAGAAGCATTCCTATTAGTCAGGCTAGTGAAGGCAGTTGGCTGAGGTTCAGGATTTGGGGGTGGCTCTTGACATGAAGTGATGGAAGTAAAAAGTAGCCAACCAGAAACAACTTGGGGGTTGCTTTCCCCCAGTCTCTGAAACACCACAGAACAGTCCAGTGCAAAAGAGTAGCATTTTTGTGGTTTGGAAAAAAAAAAAAATAGGTACAAATTAGAAATAGAAAAATTAGGTGCACATGGGTGGCTCAGTCGGTTGAGCATCGGACTTCAGCTCAGGTCATGATCTCACAGTTCACGAGTTCAAGCCTCGCATCAGGCTCTGTGCTGACAGCTCAGAGCCTGGATGGAGCCTACTTCGGATTCTGTGTCTCTGCTGCCACTCATGTTCTCTCTCAAAAATAAATAAACATTAAAAAAAAAAAAAAGAAGAAATAGAAAAATTAGGTTAAGATAAATCATTTCATTTACCCAAAAGGAGCAGAATAAGTGTAGTGAAAACAAGAGAGCCAGGGAAAAAGGGGGTTTGGCTCCTCTGCTAAAATGTTTTAGGATAGCTCTTTTTAATTTGCATGCATGGTTTCTGAGTCAATAAACTAAATGCGCATCTTTAGAAAGTAAGGAGCTAAAAGATATAGCTAAAAATAACACCACTAATGTGAGAAAAATCTAACAGAAGACCATGTGGTATTTTTTGTTTTGTGTACACAAAGTAAGCATTTAAGAAAAACCCTCAGAGAATGAGGAATATTTTAAAAGCTTAAAGAATTTGGGCATTTTATATATGAAAGGTACAAAATTTATGAGATTACATGAATAGTCCCAAGTTTACAAGTTTATAAAATTCACTCGAAGCAAAGCCTAGAAGAAACTTCAAGATGTTAAAGTGGAAATTGTCCTGGACAGGTTCAAGCCCCAGGTCTGCTACTTAAGAGATATATTCAATGGTTCTGTACTCTGCTGACTCTTACAGTTGGGCTGTACTTATAGTTGAATTATTATGAATAGCTTATAAAATAATATGTGTGAAATTACAACATATCAACTGTGGAATGAAATTCTTTTCATCCTTGTCCAAATTTTTTGCTCATACCATGTTACCTGCTTTCTTAATGTGGCTTGGTGGTTTATGTTTTTTCTTTTTTTTTCTTTTTGTAATGTTTGTTTATTTTTGAGAGACAGAACATGATGGGGAAGGGGCAGAGAGAGAGAGGCAGACACAGAATCTGAAGCAGGCTCCAGTCTCTGAGCTGTCAGCACAGAGCCCAACGCGGGGCTCAAACTCACAAGCCGTGAGATTATGACCTGAGCCGAAGTTGGACGCTTAAACTGACAGAGCCACCCAGGCGCCCCTGGGTTTTATTTTCTAATTAATATTGCATATATGTTCCAAGTTATCATATTGCTTTCCAATTTTATTTTGGATTTGACAGCTTCCATATTTCAAGAAATTTAGAATCAATTAGTCAGAATCACTTAGAAAACAATGATAAGGGGATGGTGGTTTGTTATTGTTTTGCCCAGGGAAAAAAATATACAGTAGTTGCAAATGAAAGAGAAAAGAGGGGCGCCTGGGTGGCTCAGTCAGTCAAGCAGCCCACTTCAGCTCAGGTCATGATCTCACAGCTCGAAGGCTCATGAGTTCAAGCCCCACGTTGGGCTCTGTGCTGATACCTCAGAGCCTGGAGCCTGCTTCCGATTCTGTGTCTCCCTCTCTCTCTCTGCCCCTCCCCTGCTTGCGCTCTGGCTCTCTGTCTCTCTCAAAAATAAATAAACATTTAAAAAAATTTAAAAAAAAAAAGAAAGAGAAAAGAAAGAAGACAATAGAAGGAGCTATCTTATGGCTATATAGTCTCTGGTCATGTGGTCTTATGGTTGTGGCTCTTCCACATTCTCTAAGTACTAATTGTACTATAGTTATAGATTAGTTCTGTGTATCCTCCAAAGTCTGGTATACCACTGCTACCCTCTTGACCAAGGTATTACACAGGTGATTATGCTTTTTTTTTTTTTTTTTTTTTTTTTTTTTTTTTTAGCATTTTACAAAAATGTTAAGTATAGAAAATTTAGCTAGTGGAATTGGAAGAAGTGTCAGAACTGGAAATATATCAGCACTGATGATACATTGTGGGACAGAACCCTACTTGTGAAATCTGGGGAAATATAAAATACTGAGGCATGGTTCCTAACCTTGATAGAGAGGCAAGTGTATCTTCTTGAAATACTGTGTAAAACGTAGAACATAATCTTAAAGTGATAAACTAAAATAAATGCATAGATATATACCAATCTGTGTTACTCAGTTGTCAAAGGGATTTAGAAATATTTCATCTTAACGCTTCTTTTATACGTTCAAATAATAAGAGTTACTTTTGTTTTTCACTTTGTAGGCTAACATCCAATCAATCATGGCCTCTGAAAAGCAAGTGAACATCCTGATGAAGTTGCTGGATGAGGCTTTAAAGGAGGTAGATCAGATTGAATTGAAACTGAGCAGTTATGAGGAAATGCTCCAAAGCGTAAAAGAACAAATGGATCAGATCTCTGAAAGCAACCACCTAATTCATCTTAGTAACACTAATAATGTAAAACTCCTGTCTGAAATAGAGTTTCTTGTGGTAAGTATGTTTGTAGATTGCCACCACCAACAAAACAAAAAAATCTAATGATAATATATAAAACCCATTTGTAAAAATTTTCTAATTTCCTTATGAAAATAGGATTTAAAATAATTCCAAAGACTTTATGATAGGATTGAATAGCATCTTACCTATAAATTTCCCAAAATTACGTGTGCAGATGGTACATTTATATATATTCCAGAACCACATGGACTTGGCCAAAGGTCATATAAAGGCCCTTCAGGAAGGAGATCTTGCTTCCTCCAGAGGCATTGAGGCCTGCACCAATGCCGCAGATGCCCTTCTACAGTGCATGAATGTAGCTCTTCGACCAGGTAATGTTCATTAGAAATGACAAAATCTGACCAAGAATCTGAGACTAAGCCTGTAACTTGGTATAAAGTTTTGACAAGAAATACATGAGGCAAGTGGTTTAGGGTGACTTTAGTATTAGCTCCTCAAACAAGCTTCCCTTATTTCAAAATATGTTTCTGTTGGTACCAAAAACTTTTCATTTCAGTTCCTCTGACCATCAAGGACTCTAGTTAACACCATGATTTTTCTTTAGTACAGTCTGTAGAAGCTAGCACAAAGTAGATACTTTGATTAGACCAGAGAGCATGAGGTTTTGCTAAACCAGTGGCTCCAAAACTTCAGTTTGCCTCAGAATCCTGGAGAGGGCTTGTGAAAACACATATTACCAGGCCTCACCCCCAGATTCAGTAAGTCTCGGCGAAAGCCCTACATTCCACATTTCCAACAGTTCCCTGATGATGCTTGGAGAACCACTGTGTTATATTTTTTTCTCTTGCTTACTTTTCTTTATAAAGCATACAAATAAACCAATAAAACTTTGGGTTCTTCAAAACTGCAATTCAGATACTATTATAAATGTGTTCATTGATGGGGCACCTGGGGCTCAGTTGGTTGAGCGTCCCACTCTTTGGGCTCATGTCATGATTCCAGAGTCATGAGATCAGGCCCCACGTCGGGCTCTGCACCAAGCATGGAGCCTACCTAGGATTCTCTCTCTTTCCCTCTGCCCCTCTCCCCAGCTCACACTTGAGCTGTCTCTCTTTCTCTCTCTCTAAAATAAAAAAAAATTTTTTAAGAAAATTTTTAAAAAATGTATTCATTGGAGATCCGAGAAATCTTTTTACGCATTAAATCAGTCAAGAAATATTCTGATTTCAGGCCATGACATGCTCCTGGCAGTCAAACAGCAACAGCAGCGTTTCAGTGATTTGCGAGAGCATTTTGCCCGGAGACTGGCCAGTCACCTCAACAATGTTTTTGTTCAACAGGTAATTTTATTTTATTATTAAAACTGGCATGTTTCTGTAGCTACTTAATATATTACCTTAAACTTAAATTTCCACAAAAATATAATGTGTTTAATTGGGATCACAGTATAATCCTTCACAGTTTTATTTGATTTAAGATTTTTAAATAAGACTTTTAAGTATTTGCTCATAGAAGTACATTGGGACTCAACTGCCTCCTTAGGTAGACAGTCTAGTTCCTTCAGCTAAAACTTTCTGATTCTAGAAATCAAATGACAATGCTTACTTGTTACATATACATTTAAATGTTCTTATTTATAAAAATAAGTCCAAACTTATATGTTTACTGCTTGGCCTATTTTATTTTTCAATATTTTGAGGTGAGAACCAGGACTTGATTTGGTAGTTTAAATGTTATTGGCTCTATGTATTTATATATATGAGGAAAATGACTATAGCTCAGTTGTAAATTCCATTTGATTTAATTTTTATATGAAAAAGGAGGTTATAATTAAGGTTGTGGCAATAATACTACTTTTAATAATATTAAGAATACCTTAAAGGGATTTGAACAGAGGGTATTTTAATCTGCCATAATAAAATAGGTTTCTTATGTTTTTCATCTCTTATTAGGGTTATTAGACAAAAAAAAAATTAGAGAAATTTTGTTTGTCAAGAAATGCTGTCTGAAACATTGTATTCTTACTTTGTTTTCACTTTGCAGTATTCTAAAACAATTGTATTTACTATATTTTATTTCCAATTAGTTTACTCAGGCCCTCCTTCAACTCTATAACAGGTCCTACTTTCTTTCGGTGCCTGTGAGTACATCAAATTTGGCTCAAGCTTCTCTGATTCTTTTTTTTTTTTTCCTCTAAAGTTTGCTAAACTTAACAGCAGCAGAATCTTTATAGATTATAACTTTACTGACTTAAGCTGCCTGTTAACCATATTTATAGCAGGTTTTTATGTCCCATAGTCAAAAGTTTATTTTGACCAAAAAGGCATTTAATCTCATTCTGCTTGTCTTTCTTCCTGTCATTCTTTCACTCATTCACTCCTTCATTTATTTAGAAATCATTTACCAGGTGATTGGGATGCATACCAGGCATCTACTTGGGATAGACGAGAGGCTAATCCTGTCCCAGAGTAGCTCACAGTCTAGGGAAGGGAGATACAGATATACTCAGGTAGGGTAAATGTCCTCATAGCAGTGACATATGCAAACATAAAGGAAGACCTCCTAGCTAAGCATGTGAGGGAAATATTGGGGAAAACTCTCTTAACGTTTCATTTGACCTGAAAAGTATCAAGAAAAAAGTAAATCCAGAAGTCACATAGTAAATACTAATCACATTTTTCTTACATTAGTATTTCAATAATACCTATTTCTGTACAATTCCATAGTTTTTAAAAATAACATTGTTGATAGTGATGTTATCCACATTTGTAGGTGGTATTGGAAATACCAGTAGGTAAACAGTAGTCCTTTCTACACCCTTAATTGTTGTAACATGCAGTTATTTATGATTTTGCCTCCTTGCCTTATAAACTAATGGCTTTGTTTAATATGAATGCTTCCAGTTCTGAAAATCTAATGTGTATTGTTATATGTGAGTGATGCATGTTGAAAAAAACAGAATGTTGCAACAACCTGGGATATGCTGAAGAAAGTGGAGGAGGAGGATGTCCCAAGTATAGAAAAGAGACTTTCTGTGTGTTGAATTCAGTGCATCAGGTCACCTAGCAAAAGAGTTGGGAAGTGGGTATCTCTATTCCTAGTTGTAGAACAAACTAACTGGGAAAATTTGATGACCATATTATAGTACGTTTCTTTGTCAATCACCAGGTTTTCACTATGTGCCTATTAAATACTTGCTGAAGTCCACATGTAAGAATAAGAAATGGCTCCTAAACTCGAGATGTTTATAAGGAGTCATTAAGACTAATGTACTTAAAGCTCTATAGCAATGCGTATATTAAATTGCTAATTGTATGACTACATATACATAGTTTGTGTATGTGTGTGTGTCTGTGTGTGTATATATATATGTATATATACATATGTATATATATGTATATATATGTGTGCATATATATATATATATACATATATATATATACGTGTGCTAAAGGTTTAATCAAAAGTAAGGTTACTGAGAATTTAGTCAGATATGACATCATGGATAAGACAACACTTGAACAGTCTGTGCAGTGAAGTTTTTGGCAAATGTGTATATATTCAACATGTGTAACTTCTGTACAGAAGAATACAATAATCTGTTGATCACATGACAGTAATATAAGATCATTGATTTCCAGTCTTTTTAAAATTCATGCATCAGTAAAATTAAAAAAAAATAAAATTTGGAGATTTATCAAGTCACCGATTTTTTATTTTACCAAGTAAATACTTTTATTTATTTATTTATTTATTTTTAATTTTTTTTTCAACGTTTATTTATTTTTGGGACAGAGACAGAGCATGAGGGAGGGGCATAGAGGGAGACACAGAATGCGGAAACAGGCTCCAGGCTCTGAGCCATCCTTCAGAGCCTGACTGGCAGAACTTCGAACTCCACCGGACCCGCAAAGATGGAAGTGACCTGGCTGAAGTCGGACGCTGAACCGACTGCGCCACCCAGGCGCCCCTCAAGTAAATACTTTTAAAAAGAAATCCTGACACCCACTTTCACTATCTTTTTATCTTGGCACCAAAAAAAAGACTATGATTTCAGACTTCTAAAATGAATACATTTCCCTTTATGAGAAACTCTCTTCTATCCTTTTGTTTCTTAGTGTTGTAGGCCAGTGAAAAGCATCTGCGCATCTGGGAATCATTGATCCAGAGGATTCTATATGTGATGCAGCTTTCGTATTAGTACTATCCACATGGCTGTATTTTAATGAAACTTGAAATGTTATTCTCTTCTTACTATATATACATATATAGTCATATTTTTAACAACTAACTAGATTCTTTTGGCTCTTCTAGATCTTACACACTCAGCTTCCATTGAAATTATAGACTCTTACCCATAATTTTTACATTTACTAGGGATTTGTGTATTAAGATATTCAACTAGCGAATTAGGTGAGTTACACTAATTAGGATTCTGATATTGAAAAACATGCAATCAAATTAAGGCTAGTGAAATTGAGGAAATAGTTGCATCAAATGTATGTCCTTTAAAAAATTCTTTTGGTTGTTTTTTGAAATATTTGGCTTGAAAGGATAAGTGCTCTCTGCCCTTCTTTGTCCCCTTTGGGTCCACAGAGACCTCATAATTGTGTACATTGTCTTTTGCAATAGGGTGAGAAATGATTATGCACTGAACTAAAAGTACAATCAGGAAAGAGGCTCCTGGTGGCACAGTCGGTTAGGCTCAGATCTCTGCTCAGATCATGATCTCACGGTTCGTGAGTTTGAGCCCTGCATTGGGCTCTGCACTGATGGTGTGGAGCCTGCTTGGGGTTCTGTCTTTCTTTCTCTCTGCCCCCTCCCGCTTGTGCTCTCTCTCTGTCTCTCTCTCTCTCTCTCACCTCTCTAAAAGTAAATAAATAAACTCAAAAAAAATTTTTATAAGTACAACCAGAAAAACTGAAGTTGTGAGGGGTTTGCTATATGCTTAAGTTTGGGAATTTTTCTTCCAACATGTATTTCTAGAAACATCATAATGCTAAAATAAAGCCTGTAAAATATATCACCAATATTCAATTCATTTCACAAAAATTGTTCCCTTAAACATGTTTCTTCTCAATTTCCTAAACATGGGTTAATGATCTATAGTTAAAAGCTTAGAAAGAATTATGATTATTTAAGATCAGTTTTTGTGGTATTTGTTGGAACTTTGTTCAGATTTTTTTTTCGTTGAAAAAACAAAAATAAACATGCCATAACACAGAAAGAAAGAGTTCCCAAATCTTGAAAATTTATTCAACACTTAACTTGAGTGTATCATTTCTGTTTGAAAGTCAGTATAGTAAAGTGGTTAAGAGGAGGACGGTGGAGCCAAACTTTCTATATTCAAAACCCTGACTTTGCTACCTCCTAGCGGGCTGACCTTGGGAAAGTTAATTAACCTCTTTGTGCCACAAATTCCAGTAACATATACACTAATGAAAATTTATGATGCGCTAGGTTTTTAGAAAATGTTTGTCTTAGATTAATTTGGATAAAGCCTACCATATTATTTTAAAATTTTGTTTATAATAGAGTTTTGGTATTTTTAAATGAGGAGAAAAGTACTTTGCAAGGTTATTATGAACATCAGAATTTGTGTATATATATGTAGAGAGAGAGACAGGGAGAGAGAGAGAGATAGAAACTAGCGTGGTGACAGGCATTCAATAAATTGTTATTGTTACTAACTTATTATTACTTAAAATAAGCAATTTTTAACACTGTCTTCATTTTTTACTGTATAAAGAATATTTTTTGTTTGTTTGAAATTGTATTTTTATTTATATATTTTAAGAACTAAATCACTGGTTTATTTGTATGGGAATATCCAAAATGCTGCACCACTAAAAGCATAGGGCAAAGCAGAGCCTCTCTACCTCCCATTCTTTTTTTTTTTTTTTTTTTTTTTTTTTTAAGAATAAAGTGGTGCACACATGAGAGTTCTAGAAGTGACAGTTACCTGTATTACTGATTGAATTGAACAGTTTAAAATTTTAATTTACCTATTTTCTGTAGTTATTTTAGAACCATTTTCTCTAAAGTTAAATCTTCCATTAGCACTAATCACATTTAATCTATCTTAATAGTAATAGTTTGAAGGTAATGATGTTGTCTTCATAGTAGAAGGGAAATTTTCAGGTGATGGTGATCTTAAAATGCTGTTTGCAAAAGAAAGCTTTGAATAGTAATATGTGAAAGAGCTTTGTAAACTGTAAAATCCTCTACAAACATTAATAATTCTCCATTTTTAGGGGAGGGGAAGGTTTTTAAAAATATTTTTTAATGTTTAGTTTTGAGAGAGAGACTGAGGGTGAATGGGGATGGGCAGAGACAGAGGGAGACACAGAATCTGAAGCAGGCTCCAGGCTTTGAGCTGTCATCACTGAGCCTGACATGGGGCTCAAACCCATGAACCACAAGATCATGACCTGGGCCAAAGATGGATGCTTAACTGACTGAGCCACCCAGGCGCCCCAGGGAGGAGGAGGTTTTTAATTGAAGAACTTTTCCTGACTGTAGATTAGATAATATAATGTAACATGTAATAGCCTAAGTGAACAGTTTTAGGAGAACGTAAACAATGGTTTTGGGGCATCTTGGTGGCTCAGTCAGTTAAGTCTCTGACTCTTGGTTTCAGCTCAGGTCATGATCTTACGGTTTCGTGAATTCAAGCCCTATCTTGGGTGCTGCGCTGACAGCAGAGAGCCTGCTTGGGATGCTTGGGATTCTCTTTCTCTCCCTTTGTCTTTGTCCCTCCCAGACTCATACTGTCTCAAAATAAAATAAACTAAAAAAAAATTTTTTTAAACAAAAACAATAATTTTGAGTCTTGAATCACTGAGAAAAATTAATGAAAAAGATTGTTTTGGATGATAAGAGATGTCTAATATTGTTATTAATAAAGAATTTTAAAAATCTATGGCAACTGTGATGAGAGATGAAGTATAGTCCAGTGATAATAACTGTATATTTTATTTAATATTATTAATTTTGTTCATATTTATTGTTAAGTCTTTACTTCACAGAAAACATGTAGATGACCAGGCATTCCAAATATATAGAATAGTTCCATTTTTCAACACTGTAGCTCTTAGTCCACAATGATTCTTTTGGAAAATGTGATTGTTTTATATTCAGTCAGCCATTCAAAAAAGAATGTTCACACAGGTCCATGATCCCTTATCCAAAACTATTGGGGTCAGCTGTCTTTTTAGAATTTTTCAGATTTTAGGAAAGTAATATAGTATATATACTGTATATTACATAACCACTCCAGGAGGGTCTGGAGCTGGGCTCTGTGATTAGGGACACAATAGTCCAACACCAAAAAATATGAATAGTTATTCTAAACAGTATAAACAGCCTCATGTCAGTTCAGGTCAGCTTTTGCCATCAAAATAGATTTGACACCAAATTTACACTGAGTTTTCCAAGCTTTTTGTATTTTAGAATTACAGAAAGGGATCATGGACCTATATACACAGTATACCTTGTATATAATGTCTGTGATAGCTGTGAACTTGTATTGTCTCACCCTTTCTGGTTCTTATTTTGAATTGGTCATCTAGTTTTCTGATTAACTTTTCTGCTATCTCTGGTCCAATTTCCTAAGGTAGATATCAATAAGATTAATCTTAGAAATACATAGGGGCACCTGGGTGGCTCAGTTGGTTAAGCAGCCGACTTCCGCTCAGGTCATGATCTCACAGTTGGTGAGTTCCAGCCCCGCATCAGGCACTGTGCTCACAGCTCGGAGCCTGGAGCCTGCTTTGGATTCTGTGTCTCTCTCAGTCTCTGTCCTGCCCCCACTCACATTCTGCCTCTCTCTGTCTCAAAAATAAACATTAAAAAAATTTTTAAAGAAATATATTGATTGTTCTATATAGTTTTATATGTAATTTCTATATAATGGGTCCTTATATTTATTTCCATTTTAAGTTGGGGATATAATCTCACAAGAAGAAAATTCTCCAACAGACTGATTTGAAAGCTTTAATGAAGAAGGAACTCAGATAATGATATTTTATTGATGTGTCTTATACTCCTATCTTTCTTATTCTAAAGGTACTTCTCAATTACTAGAGAATTCTTTGTTTCCCTCATCCGGGAATTTTTTCTGGATACTGTGTATTTAAAAGAAATTGTTTTAAAAAGTCCATAACCACTAAGTTCTTATTTTATGTATATAGTAAAGGAAATAAATTAGACAGAAGAAATCTCTTTTAAAAGAATTTAAATTCAGCCAGTTTATGTCAGCTAGTATAAAACACACATAATTGGGTTTAGGTAACTTTACTAGGAAATGAGTTAACCAATCCCAGAACTCAGTCACTGTGTCATTTTAACAGAATGATAACAAATAACTTCTGACAAGGCAAATTAGATCAAGTCAGAATGATGTCAAATAAATCTGTCTTTTTTTCCCCTTTCCTTATTCTTGGGAACTAATATTTTCAAGGGGAATCAACTCCTTTAATCTTTCAGCTTCCCATCTCTTAGACCCTGGCTTTGAATTCCATGACAAATATTGATCCAATAATAGAGAAAGAGAGCTAGATTGTTTCAAAGTAGGGCTGGAGAGATTTTTATTGTTTTGTTTTATATTTTAGATACCAGTAAATAATTGGCATTTGCAATTTTTGAGTCTGCTTAAAATGATTTTTTAGATATGTTTTTAAAAGAAAATGGAAGTGAGACTCACATGACTAAGTTTCCAATTCTTGCTTTCCTTCCTTGCGACCTGAGCAAATCACGTAACTCTTTAAGTTTCAATTTCCTCTTCTAGAAAATAAGGCTGTTGGATCTGATGATCTTCCAGGTCTGTATTTTTCAAAACAAAGTCAGGATGCATCATCTAAGACTGTTTGATAGCTTACTAATTTATTTACATAAAAGGGTTGTCAAGGTCTTAAAATAAAATCATGGTGTATTTATTTAATTACTAGAAAGATTAAAATTATACTATTATTAAGGATTATCCAGGAAAGCCTAGGATATCATCATCTGTGGTGCTTCCTAGTTCTAAAATTCTGTATCCTCTATGTTTTAACTACTGTTTTTAATATTGTATATTTCTAATAGAAATACCATAGATACTGACAATTTGTTTTGAATGACTTCCCTATTTATTGTGTTTCTCAATACAGTTGTATTGTGAAGTTTATTTGCTTGGTAAATTGTAAAATGAGATGGTATGGGAGAGAAGAGCTTGATTAAAACATTTATTGTCAATTCTTTAGAAGATGACATGAGTAGTTTATCAGAGTGCCATTCTTGCATGTTTATGACTATTTATGGTGATAGTGTTCAGTAAGCTTACACAGGATGATAATAAAAGACAAGTAAGTACTTGGTTTTTATCTTGCTTTCTATCTTCCTTTGCTTTTCTTTGGCTACATTTGGTCATTTTTTAGAATTTTCAATTACAACATGTTTCTTTGTACTGCCAATATATTTATTTACTTATTTACTCACTCTAGGGTCACGATCAGAGTTCAACTCTTGCTCAGCACTCTGTTGAACTGGCTTTACCCAATCATCATCCATTTCATAGAGACTTGCTTCGATATGCCAAGTTGATGGAGTGGCTGAAGAGTACAGATTATGGAAAATATGAGGGACTAACAAAGGTATGAATTTGATAACAATTACTCACCGAGTATGGAGCATAATCTTCTAGAATCAAGAGGTCATGTATTCAGCTCCCCACATGACATTTGAAGTATTAGTCGTGAAACAGAAAGTAATTGAATTTCTGAGTGCTCATTTGACGAGGCAGAACATTTATTTCATTTCTTGGGTAAAGAAGAGCTAAATTTCTAACTCCAGTTTAATATAGTAGTATGTGGTACTGTGGCCTTAAATTTCAGTTTAGTTAAATACAGAAATTATTTCCTGAGTTTCTTTATATGCAATATAGAGAATATGAAGATGTCTAAGTGTGGCATTGCCCTCTAGGAGTTGATAATGTGTTTGATTAAGCAAGTGCAGGTTGCCTCTTTATGAAGCAAGCGTATCACTATTCCAGGCACACAGGGCCTAACAAGCAAGCCCTACTTCTGAAGAACCTTGTATCTGACTGGGGAGAGCAATTATACTTAAAACAATCAGCAAAAAATTAACTGCCAAACTGAAAATGAGTTTAGAGAAGAGAAATCCGTGTCCTAAAGCCATGGAGGAAAACTTCACGGCAGATATTGGATTTGAATTGAGTTTTTAAATAGTGAGTGGAATTAGATAAACCAAAAAAAAAGAGGAAAGGCATTCCAGGGATGAGGAGCATGCAGACAAAGGTGGGAAAATAGGACTTTTTTAGGGCAATGAGGATGCAAGCCCATCTGAAGTAGAATTTCATATTCTGGGGCAGAGAGAAATTATGTTGAAAAAGATAAGCCATGAGACATAAGACCTAACAGCATTCCTCATACATGGGGAGAGACTAGGTGAGGCAAATTAATTAAGAACCTAATGTAATAATTAGATGAAATCCAAATCAGGAAGATAGTGGTAGGAATAGAGAATATAAACCAAAAGAAAGACTCTAAGGTTGGAAGAAACAGGATGATGCCAAACTTTTCTAGGTTTGGAAACTAAAAGAACAATACTATTAACATCAGCAATTGGAGAAGATGAGTCACTTCATTCATATATGAATTGAGCACCTGCTTTTTTGTTAAGTAAGTGCTAGAGATACAGCACTGAAGGAACCAGGCAAATGTTTGCCTTCTCATAGCGCATGTTCTGGTGGAGAAAGACTGGCAAAAAAGCTAGTTGTATATTAGAAGGTACCGTTGAGTGTTCTGGAGAAAATAAAGCAGGGAATGCCGGGACTGGGGCAGGTGTAGTTTTAAATAAGGCATCGAGAAGGTGATATTTGAGCATAGATTTTAAAAATAAGCAAGGGTGAGTGGCACCTGGGTGGCTCAGTCAATTAGGCGTCTGACTCTTGATGTCAGCTCAGGTCTTGATGTCAGGTTCATGAGTTCAACCCCACATTGGGCTTGACGCTAGGCATGGAGCCTACTTAAAAAAAAAAATTTTTTTTTAATTAAAAAAAAAAAAAGCAAGGGTGAGGGGCGCCTGGCACCTGGCTGTCTCAGTCAGTACAGCATAAGACTATTGATCTCAGGGTTGTTCAAGCCCCATGTTGGGTGTAGAGATTATTTTAAAACTCTTAAAAAAAAAATAAGCAGGGGTGAACAGTGGGAGTTTCTTGAGGAAGGCTTTCCAGGCACAGTACAGGTATCCTATGGTAAGAGCATGCCTGATATACTGGAGGAGCAATGAGGAGACCAGTATAGTTGGAGTACAAAGGGCCAGAGACAGGACCTTAGAAGAAGAATGGAGAGAGGTAAAGCAGGGTGGGACAGACGGGACAGATCAGGAAGGGACTGTGTACATTGGTAAGGATTTGGCTTTTACCATGCAGGAGATGGGGGAGGGAGTTTGGGTGGGCTTTGAGCAGTAGAAATACATGATCTAATTTAACTTTAATAAATGGCCATTGTGGCAGGAAGCCATGGATACAGTACTTTTCTGGCATTTCTGCTGTGACCTTTAGTATTGAAATTAACCATGTGACTTAGGGAGCTAAAAAATTGCTACCTAATTCAAATATATAAATAGCCATATTTATATGTCAGATATAATAGCAGTTTACTTAAAATTCTAAAAATACCTTGAAAAACAAGTAAAATATTTTATCTGTATGTTTTTATGAATTTGGAGTTCAAAACAATAAATTTAAGTAAGGTAGAAGCTATTTTAATAGTTAGTAATAATTTAATTATGTGGACAACATGACCTTAAAAGATGTTCTTGAGTTGGAAAGAGTAATGTGTTGTTTCTTGAAGTAAAAACAAAAATATTGAGATTGTTCATATAAAGTCTCTTCCCCTCAACCCATGTGCTTACGACCAAACATTTCCTAACAGAAGTTAGCTAGCAAAATCATCTTATTTTTGCTAGTTTTGCTTGCAGAAATTTTTCCTAGTTTTATTCAAAAAGTGGTGCTCTCTTTTAGAGTGTTTTATAATGAAGATTATTCTTTCTTAGGAAATTAATATTTATACACGAACCCATTTTATCTTCCTACTGACTGAAATAATTATTACAACTTCCTCTAGTCTCAGGTTCATGCTTTGTGAGAAGGCAGTGGAGTAGGTAGAAATTTATGAGAACTATGATGATAAGAAAAAAGTAGTTGGTACAGTCCTACCAGTATATCAATATGAACACATTTGGCAATAGGACATTCTTGTAAATCAGTCTTTATGTATTTTCTCTTCAAAGTGCCTTTGCTCATTTAAAGTAAGATCTGACTCCCCTTCTAAACTGAGATCATAAGAAAGGGGACATAAACCTTGGAAAAAAAAATAATACTTTTAAACTATAGTTTTAAAAATGCTTTTCAAAGAGACTATGAATATTCTAAGGTATGTATGTACATCTTATCTGGCTAGCTATTTTAGGTAAGATTATTTTTGTTCCTCAGAATTAGTCTTTTAAGTGTTCTGCAACTCTACTGTTGTGTTATATTTTGTTTTGTTTTGTTTTCATTCAACAGAATTCTGATTTGGAGATATCTTAAAGAAAAGTATTTACAGTACTGGAATTCTTTGCCTTTTGAAGTTTTAGGAGGATTAATATTTTGAATAATTAAACATTATTATATCTCCTTAAGAGTTTTGTGCCAACAAGTGCTTTGTCCCCTAGTCAATATTCAAATAAGTAAAGTAATCAATAAGCTTTTTGCCTAATTGTGTTCTCAGTGAGTATTATTGCCCTATCTTTATATATAATGTAGTATTCATGAATGTAATTTAAATGAAGAAACAAGACAATAGCCAACCTGGCAATGATTTATGGAATCATTCTCTCCTCACAGTATATTTTTGATTGACAATATTAATGAGCTTTTTTGAATGAAATTGACTTATTTCCCGGGAATGTTATTTGATCCTGTGGTTTGAACTTTTGACAGACTGTATTTTACCTTATAATCTAATTTGGTTGCTGAAGGGTCATCACAACCAGTATTTTATTAAAAAGGAAGAAGGAAGAGAAGAATGAAAGAAGGAGGGAGAGAAAGAAGGAAACAGACAAACCAGTGCTTCTTTAATAAGAAATAGTAATTAAATCCAGATACTGTTTGCACTTGGTTGGGTGTCCGCAGCTCACACTTTTTGGCAGGAACAAAAAAAGCCTGTTTCACATTCTTTAAGGGATAAGAATCACAAGGCACTGCCCCAGCTCTACTTATGACTGAGTCTAAGGAAAGCCCTGATTTTTGGTATACATAATTAGAGCTTATGGAAACTATCTCAGCTGCTCGGATTCCTTCCTCCCCAGGACCCTGGCCCCTATCTGTGGCTCTGAGTTATTCATGTGGGGCGATTAATATTAGAGATGGTCTATCCATGCTTGGGTAGGAAATGAGCTCTGCTCTCCTAATAATCTCCTGAGGTTCACAGTCAGTCTTGAAGATTCTCAGACATCTTCTCTCAACCTCCGTTCTACATTTGTGGAATTTACCTTTTGGTGTAAAGAGAAGGTAAAATATAGAGACCTCTGTAAGACTACAGTCAGCACAACATAAAGTTGAAGAGACTGCCTGAGACAACAGTATTTAAACTCATGACAGTTAAATTTAAGGTGCTATATACAAGGTGCTAAGAGGCACCTCACGAGAGACTTCCTTCAGAATTTGGTAAATGAATGAACTGATGGTCACACTGTCTGTGGCCTTTCCCACCAATGAGTTCTGTTACATACTTGGAAAAAAGGTATCGAGTCATTAGAGTTGCATTGGGAAAGGGGATGATTTTCAATAGTCTGTTCTTGTCACTATTTTCTAGATACCAGAGGAGCTGTTTTGAAATTGTTTAAATTGCTTGGGTAGTAATGTGTACTTTAAGCAATTTGGATATTGGAATGCAGTCTGTTATGTTGAGTTATTTAAGTAGAAGCCACTGATGAAGATTTTACAAGTTGTGTGAAGCTAATTTCCCATTTGTCAACTATTCACTGATTTGCAGTGATCAAGATTTTTATGAGAATTTTAAAATTGAAAAACTGAGACATTGAAAAAGTATGACAGCCTAATGAAATAGGAATTAATTTTAGGTATATTTTAATTTACATTTTTAATTTTTTTTTTATTTTTTAAAGCTTTATTTATTTATTTGAGAGAGAGAGCGAGCATGGGCAGAGGAGAGGGAGAGAGAGAATCTCAGGCAGGCTCCATGCTCAGCAACACAGAGCTGATGTGGGGCTGGATCCTGTGATGCTGGGATCATGACCTGAAATCAAGAGTTGGACACTTAACCGACAGAGCCACCCTGGTGCCCCAGTTTACATTTGTTTTTAAATTTATGCAAAGATCATGGGAAAGACTTGCCCATTTGACTAAGTTTTAGTGCAGAGACTATGTGAGAAATATATATGGCCTACAAATTGAAAAAAGCAGGATCTATATACTATGTTTCATCCAAATACTATTTTATAAGGATAAGCTTATAATATTTTATAAGCAATGTAAACCTACTCTAAAACTGAATGTATTAATTTGAAACAATAAAGGAAGCTGAAGCTTAGATTCCCTGATAAATTTAAAAGAATAGCCAAGTATAGATTTTCTGCCATGGATTTATTTAAATTTAGTCCACTGTATATGCATTTAATTTAGGACTTGGAAAATATATGGTCTCCCACTGTTGAAGAACCCTTCCTGAAAGCCTAAAATATTCTTATATCCTAAAAAGCAGATATGATGAAGAAATGAGTTTGAATGCTAAATTATAGATGTTTCCATTTGAGCTAGAATAAATCAAATTTGTTTTTAAAAAATAAATTTTTTGTGAAAACTATAACGTGCTAATTAGAATTAAATTAGTTATATTTAATTTATACTTATAATTTTTATAATTTATAATTTATTATAATTATTATAATTAAAAATTATAAATATTTTAATTTATAATTAAATTAATTATGTATGTATATATACATATATATTTTTTAATAAGAAGTACCTGTTACTTTTATTTTAAGAATTACATGGATTATTTATCACGACTGTATGAGAGAGAAATTAAAGATTTCTTTGAAGTTGCAAAGATCAAGATGACTGGCACAACTAAAGAAAGCAAGAAGTTTGGTAAGCTAAAGTGTTTTATTTATGACAAATAATTATAAGACTTTTTGAGCATAGTGAAAGAAGATATAGTAGAATTGACGAAAAAGTAAGTCTAATGTGTTGGTTTGATTTATAGATATTTCACAGAACAAATATTTATATCTGTAAATATGATTTTTACTAAAATTCTGTAGTATATGACTCTGACAGCAATTGTGTATTCATGCCATAAATGAAAGCTTCTATTCATAGATAGCAGTTGACCAGAAAATGAAGTGTGATCTGGTAGGGAAAGTAGGAGGCTAAGAGACACACATTGAGAGTTCAGTTTCTTACTTCCTAAAAGACCTTTTGTAACAGTTGGGGCAAATCATTGATCTCTAAGTCATTGCTCTTTACAGGGAAATGAAAGTGATTCCTGGCTTCTTACTTCTCACTGGCTATTTTGAATCAAAAAGAAAGTTTGTTTTCTCCCCCATCAAGGGGCTATAAAACCACTCAAATTTCTCCTGTGGCTATACCTTATTTTCCCAAAGAGATATTTCTCAAGCATGTTGTTTTTTGTTGCTTCTAAATATGTTAAGTGGACAGAAACATGTTTGAAAGGATAACCAGTGAAAGTATCAAGTTGCGAGGAAGGTGATTTGCTGAGGCCACATTCTGCTCTTGCATGTACCCATCTCTGGAGTTCCTTTTGGATGGAGTTCTGTGCCTATTCAAGTCAAAACCTGGCCTTAAATGGCTACAATGTGTACTCAGTGTGTCTGCATAGTTCCCCTTTAGAATAATGAGTTTAGCATTTGCTTGTTGAAAGGAGCCTATGCCCTAAGCAACTTCTGGTAAACAGGAGACAGGATTGAAATTGATAGCACATCTTTCCATTCTTTTCTTTAGGACAGAGAAGACTGTCTTTAGTGGGTAATTATCTGGTAATTCATTGTTGTTGTTGTTTTTAACACTAATATATTGATTATACTAGTCCAGACTTTTGAAATGTTTTGAATCTGTGTACAAATATGTTATACTTAGGTAAAGATACTGATGAGAATCTTGGGACAATAGGCTTTTGGAAACAGAAATGCTAACTCATCCTAAAGGTTAATTGTTCTTAAACAGCAGTGTGTTTATATCCTTGTTAATGTTTCACTGTGGATATGTTATGCTTTTTTTTTTAGTAAGCAGCATATTAATTCAGTTACATGTTTAATGTTTTCATTTAGTATATTTGTCACCACTTGTTAGTGAACCATTTTATTTTGAGAGAATTCTTCTACAGTTATATGAAAACAGGAGGCAAAAGGGAAATCTTTCTAAAATTATCTCTTTAGGAGGTCATTAATCCCAGTATCATAATAGTTTATAAAGCCTAAGATTCACACTGAAATAAATGACATAATAAAAATATAATTTAAATCAAGTATAATAGTATCTTAATGGTTTCATTGCATTAACTTGAAAATTAATTTTTACTCCTAAGAAGTTCTTAAATTATCTTGTTTAAAATATTTTTAAATTAGAAGTTTGGAAGGCACTTTTATAATTTTAAAACATCATTACAATTATATCTCTTCTTATGTATCAAATTATAACAGGAGAGTAATTTGTGATGGTTGATGGTACCAGAAAATTAGTTTCAGTGATTTTGATATCATTAGCTACAAGAGAAAATAAACTAAATAATAAACAATTCAGAGGACAAGTTAAATACAGATGACTTAAGAAATTCTAAATAAGGTAGAATGAAATTTTTTAAAGTTCCTTTTCAATGATTCAAATTATGTTTAAATCAATTTTTTTTTTTTTAACGTTTGTTTATTTTTGCGACAGCGAGAGACAGAGCATGAACAGGAGAGGGGCAGAGAGAGAGAGAGACACAGAATCTGAAACGGGCTCCAGGCTCTGAGCTGTCAGCACAGAGCCTGACGCAGGGCTCGAACTCACGGATCGTGAGACCGTGACCCGAGCCGAAGTTGGACACTTAACCGACTGAGCCACCCAGGCGCCCCAGTTTAAATCAATTTTTCATAGTAATTATAATTAAAATAGAAACCTGTAGTTTGGGAATGATAACTTTTACATGAATCAAAAGTAATTATGAATAAAATTTAAATATTTTTGTTTTTTACTTGTTCTGAAACTGCTGGGTCAGAATAGAAAGACTGAACGTACTTTACAAAAGGAAAGGTATAGTCAATATAGTCATAAAGATTCAGGGGAATACTCTTTGAACCACTCTTAACTTTAACATCACTTTAGTTCAAATAATTCAGAATAATGTTAAAATACCAGTAAATATCTTTTCTTTGTTATAGGTTTTTATGTAGGTCATTGCCTTTTTTGATTAATAGGTTTACTTTGATAAAACTCAGACGCATGGAATTTTCCCCCAAGAATGATATTTTGGTGGCGTTTTCTCCCCTTTGTATTCTACAAATGTACTTAATGCAATGGCAGGCAAAGGAAATTTAGTAATTATTTTTTAAATTACTAGTTTTTTTTTCTATAGCTAAGATAACACACATACATATTATTTTAGTCCATTGGACATATACATTTGTATAATTAGTGCCTCCCTTGTATTTAATCTTCCAAAATCTTAGAAGTGGTATGTCAAAATTATTTTTCATTCTGTTTCTCCACTAAGCTAAGAATCTTGTTGATTCCTAAAGGAGTCTCGAATACAAGGCTGAATTCAGTGCTGGCTAGAAAACAATAAATATTAATTACCCATTATGTAATAAGCACTGCTAGGTACTGAGAATGCAGCAATAAGCAAAGACCCTACCTTCGTGAAGTTTACAGTCTAGTGGGGATTCTTTAAAGATATTTAAAAGGTTACTTGAATATTGTTGCTTTTTTGCTGATAAATAATGTAGGCTTTTGTGAACCCCAAATTATAATTAAGTGGCCTTACTAGTAACTACATAATTTATTGGCTACCAAAAAAAAGTGTATGAAGTGTCAGGCTTTGCTCTGAAACTGGTGAACTTAGTATAGTCACACCCTAAGGCCACCAGAAGGTACTGTTCTGATTGACCAGCTAGCAGCTCCAGCAAAACCCCTGCTTGCCACTTTAGTGTCCAGCCTTGTTATTTCATACTCCCTTGAGCTTATGCAGCTAGGGCTGGAACGATATATATATCCCTGGTATGACAAGGTAGTTGTTTTTACTCAGGCTTTTGCCTTGAAGTTTGGCAGGGATAGTGACAGTTGACACATTATTCTCTGTTTTTGAAATATTTCTAGATTATAGTTATATTCTTTTAATTTTCTCTTTCATTCTATAATTTCTTTCTTTGCCTTTCACATTAACTTCAAATTTGAGTTTAGAATTTTTCACAAGATGATCTCTACAACTGATCTAATAAATATTATATAGAGAGAAGTTTTAGAATAAAAGAAATGCCAAATGACCCTAAAGGAACTCAAATTCCTATATTAAACCTGTCCCTTTGGCTTTACCTTTCCATCCTCCCATCTCCTGATAATTAGTATTTTGATAAATACTTTTCATCCTAGGTGTTCACAAAGCCAGCTACTAAGTAGTTCAGCTTTATATTTTCAAATAATTTTAAAGCCCCACTCAGGTAATTTTTTATCAGATGTAGTATGACATTATGTAGTACCATGGAGACTCAGGAGTTTTCAGGGAGCAAGATAGCTCTTAATGTCTAAGTCTGCAACTTCATTCTAATAAATTTCCATTGTATTAAACTTTTACCCAACCATATGATCTCACTCACACGTAGAATTTAAGAAACAAAACAAACAAGCAAGGGAAAAAGACAAACCAAGAAAGAGACTCGGGATTAAAGAGAACAAACTGATGGGTTACCAGAGGGGAGGTGATAGGGGGATGGGTGAAACAGGGGATGGGGATTAAAGAGTATACTTACTATGATGAAATAAAATGATTTTTACAAAATTAAAAAAAAAACCCACTTTTACTTGAACTGTGTTTTTTTTTCCTAAAACCAAAACTTACAAATGTAGTCTTTTAAATTTAAATATACTAGCTGCATAAACTTAAAAAAAAAAATCATTTAAAAGTGTTGGGAGTGGGGGCTGACAAATACAGATTTTTTTTTACCTGAATATTTGAATAAAAACAATACATTAGACTAGTAAAGTTTTTTTTCTCTCAGAATTTGTCAACCAGTAGCTGACCCAACTAAACATATGTTGCACCTCTTGTTACTTGATGCTCATGGTTCTTTGCATGTGTCTTTTAAACTAGAGCTTTAACTTCCTCTTGTGCATGGTTTGTGCAAATTGCAGTTTATTAACTTGTCTTTGTCTTTGATGCTTGCAACCTAATCCATCACAGCTACACTGCCTCGAAAAGAAAGTGCTGTCAAACAGGAAACAGAGAGTGAGTATGCTTAGTGTATTAGTAGGTATTCTCAATGCATGTTTGTTTAATGTCTAGAAATTAGTTTTTTGTCTTGACAAAAGTTACACCAAAAATATTAATTGCTCTGAGTTGCCAGGTATTGATTGGTGAAAGAAAAGCAACATGATGGTAGTGGTATGGCTACATTCAAGAAATATAGTTAAAAATATATGGTGGGCAGTCAGGAATTTGTGAAAGGCTTAACCATTCAACTTCTGTTTTCAGGCTGTGTTTAAAAACTATAAAAATTCTTACAGATATGGTCAGATTTTGCATAATGAAACTGAAGTTTATGTCTTTAATTGTCCTTATTGTATGTTTATCTGTCCCTTCTGACCATCAGTAAACAATACAGGTTAACTGAGAAATATTTTAGAAGATTAAAAAGAATTATTTGTTTATATTCAATTCTGAATAAAAATAGTACATTTTCTTATAAAAATGTAAGCCTTTAATGCCTCGATGTATGTAGAATGTTGTCCAGCCACATTGTTCTCATTTTTCCTCATGGTTGTGATGGATACCTATGTTTATAGCTAACCAACGATGTCCCATATTATATAGTTCATGGTGTATGTATTATATTTTAGTTGTATTTTAAATGTAACAAGTTTCCAGGGTTGTTGTTGTTTTCTCTCTTCATTTTGTTTATTTTTTATTATTTAAAAAAAAATTTTTTAATGTTTATTTTGGAGAGAGAGAGCGAGAGCGAGCATGAGTGGGAGAGGGTCAGAGAGAGAGTGAGACACAGAATCTGAAGCAGGCTCCAGGCTCCAAGCTGTCAGCACAGAGCCCGATGTGGGGCTCGAACTCACAAACTGTGAGATCATGACCTGAGCTGAAGTCAGATGCCCAACCGACTGAGCCACCTAGGCGCCCCCATTTTGTTTAGTTTTTAAAGAACTGTAGTTAATCAGTTCACTTACTATAAAAGCAGAGTTTCTGGGTTCAGGAATGTGTTATGTCGAATCATATGTAATTGACTTTTTATAGGGCAAGAGTGATCAAGTATCGGCAGTTTGTATGGTTCAATCCAATATTTTCATTTTTAATGTGGAGGCAAGTAATATTGGGATATGGCTGTTTTCTTCAGAAATAAAAAAGTCATGTTAGCCAGTACACTAAGGAGTCATGGACCTTCATCCATTTTCATGTCTTTTGAGTAAGAAGGAAATCTTCATCTAGTTTAGTCTGGAAATATCAGACAACTTTGGTGAGACTGGGCAGGGTATAGATCATGTGATCTCTAAGATCCCGTCTAGTCCTATTCTGTGGATCTGTGTAGTTTTGCTGTTCTTACAATATACTCAGGGATAGGACACAAACATTAATGAAGGAGCAGGACACTGTACAGCCTGTCCCATGTGGTAGACTTGTGTGATAACTAATATGAGCACTGGAAGATGAAGACAGTAGAGGAAAGAGCCCTGGTTTACGCTATGGGTCTTTTATTCATGAAGGTCACAACTTTCAAAGTTTTATTATTTCTTAGGTCTTCATGGAAGTTCTGGGAAATTAACTGGATCCACTTCTAGTCTAAATAAACTCAGCGTTCAGAGTTCAGGGAATCGCAGATCTCAGTCATCTTCTTTGTTGGATATGGGAAACATGTCTGCCTCTGATCTCGACGTTGCTGACAGGACCAAATTTGATAAGGTAAAATAAAATAACAAGTACTTCTTAAACATTAACATTGGTTTTCTAACAGCAGTTTCAAAAATTTGGGCTCTGTTGTCTCTTAATTAACTATATATTACTTTCCAATTGGAATCTGAAAAAAGTGCTAGTCAAATGGCAACTGAAATGTGTATTATCAATTCATTGACTTTTAACAGCTTTATTAAAATTTACTATAAATCATTAAGTGCTTGTATCTTAAGTTCTTTGAGCCAACTACAAAGTAGAGAGGAAATAATAGCTTTTATGAAGCTAAATTATTCTCAGCAGTGCATTAAGTTTAAAAAGTTTATCTCTGTGTTCCTCTTTCTAGATGTCAAGTGAATAATTGTTGTGAGTTTTATTCTAGGTATGTCTGACCCTGTTATGCCTTGATCCTTCTGCTTCGTCCTATCAATCTTGGAATAGTTTCTTTTGGAATTCTATTGAGATTATTATAGATAAAGCATCTGTGGTCCCTAAGTGCATTGAATGTGGATGATTTTTTAAGCATTTGGTGCAGTTAATTTTTGTTTTCTTCAGATCTTTGAACAGGTACTAAGTGAACTAGAGCCCTTGTGTCTGGCAGAACAGGACTTCATAAGTAAATTTTTCAAACTACAGCAACATCAAAGTATGCCTGGAACAATGGTATGGCTCACATTTATTTATTGGCTAATATTTATGATCTGTAGCATAATTGGCCTTATTAATTTATTGTCACAATTTCAATATCAGAACAGAAAAAAAAAATTTACGATGTAAGGATGTTTTCAATAATTTTTATCATATCACGAGATAACAAAAACAGTGATAGACTTTGAGCATCTAATTTAATACTCCAGACTGTCTTAGGCTTAAATATCCTCTAAATTAGTGAGGGTGGAAAATGTCTGAATATAAGACATTTTGTAAAAGACATTATTCAAAAGAAATTTTAGCATTTTAGTAGTCACCAAGAAAAAATATAATTAAAAAAAAAATATTTGAGTATATAAACCATGGTCTAGGAAAAAAAAAGAAGAAAGAAAGAAGCCTCAAATCTGAATCTTTCTTATGTCTTTGCTACTAACTAGCATTAAGACCTTAAACCAATTGTTTAATCCCCAGTTTTCCTCATCTGTACAAGAATATAATAATGCCTGTTTAGCATGCCTCTCAGGTGGCATAAATGTAAGAAAATAAAATGAAAGACTGCTGCAATATTTTGAAAAACTTAAAAGCACAATGCAAATAATTTTTTTTTTTAAAGTAGGCTCCATGCCTAGCATGAAGCCCAGCACAGGCTTGAACTCATGACCCTGAGATCTAGAGTTGGATCCTTAACCGACTAAGCCACCCAAGCGCCCCAAATAAAGTGATTTTTTTTTTTAAGTTTATTTTAAGAGAGACAGAAATGGCGCAAGTTGGGGAGGGGCAGAGAGAGGGAGAGAGAATCCCAAGCAAGCTCCACACCACCAGCATGGAGCTCAACACGGGGCTCAACCCCATGAACTGTGAGGTCGTGACCTGAGTTGAAATCAAGAGTCGGATGTTGGGGCGCCTGGTTGACTCAGTTGGTGAAGCGTCCAACTTCAGTTCAGGTCATAATCATACTGTTTGTGAGTTCGAGCCCCGTGTCGGGCTCTGTGCTGACAGCTCGGAGCCTGGAGCCTGCTTCACATTCTGTGTCTGCCTCTCTCTCTCTGCCTCCCCCCTGCTCGTGTTCTGTCTCTCTCAAAAATAAATCAACATTAAAAAAATTTTTAAAAAGATGTATGTGTCTCCTTCTCTGTGCTCCTCCCCCACTCATGCTTTGTCTCTTTCTGTCTCTCAAAAATAAATAAACATTTAAAAAAAATAAGTGTAAATAAAAAATAATAAAAGAGTCGGATGCTTAACAAACTGAGCCACCCAGACACCCCAATGAAATGATTTTTAAATTAAGGTCACCTTAAAAAACAGAACCAACATAAAAAGCAATCTAAAATGAATGTTGTTGTAGATGATGATGGTAGAAATTTGCTTATTTGTTAGCCTCTGTAAGAATTTTTAATAGCGTTTTTTAAATGCCAGAGTTTTATTTGAATGATTGATAAGATTTCTTTAATTTTTAAAATTGTCTTAAAAGTTTTTTCTGGTTTTTTTGAGGTGCTCCCCCACTCCATTCCCACACTCGCTCTGAGCCTCCTGTACCTCCTCTGTCCCTGCTTTCCCCTCCTGTGCACACACACAAGCACAACTTCTCAGCCTACAATAATTCTCAGATCAAATCTAAGAGCAAAACATCTCATAAACATTCTTAAGCAACATACTAAATTATACAGTTTTAAAAATCATTGGTTTTCGGGGCGCCTGGGTGGCGCAGTCGGTTAAGCGTCCGACTTCAGCCAGGTCACGATCTTGCGGTCCGTGAGTTCGAGCCCCGCATCAGGCTCTGGGCTGATGGCTCAGAGCCTGGAGCCTGTTTCCGATTCTGTGTCTCCCTCTCTCTCTGCCCCTCCCCCGTTCATGCTCTGTCTCTCTCTGTCCCAAAAATAAATAAACATTGAAAAAAAAAAATTAAAAATCATTGGTTTTCATAATGTATTCTCTCCTAGGAATTTTAAGACTGAGCAGGCTTTTGCTGTATAGTCAAATTGTTGGTCTTTTGTTATGTAAAGTACCTGAATAATTTTTGCAGACTGAAGCAGAGGACGTAGATGGAGGAACATTATCCCGGCAACATAATGCTAGCGCGCCACTGCCAGTTTCATCAGAGTATGTGTTTGTTACTATCTGTCATTTCTTTGGGAGGAAAAAAACCTTAAAATTGAGCCTCGGGGAATGCCGCTCCAATGGCCGGGAGGTGGGGGGGTGGGGGGGGACCAGATGACTCTGGTAATGTGACTGTACTCAGAGCACTGACACGTGTACCTAGTGTCTTCTTGACGTCTTACTGAGTTAAAATCAGTCCTGTTTGACTCTTCTTTGCTCTGGTAATCACAAAAAAGTGCAATCAATTTTGATGTTTGCTGGTAAGAAGTAGCATTTGAATTGCATATTTCTCAGAAATTACAAAGCACATTTCAGGATCCAGCTTTACAAATGACATCAAGTTATGTTTTGAGTAATAAAACTTAACTTCAAAAAAATATTTTTATGTTGGAAACGGATGTAGAATAATTAGTTCGTCATTTTTGGACATTTTTAATTGAAGTAATAAATTTTAGTCATTCTGTATGTATGCAGTGGATTAAAGTTAAAGATGAAAACACTTGAAACTTGTAATCTGTTTTGTATGTTTTCTGAACAGAAAAGATATGATCCGCCAAATGATGATTAAAATATTTCGCTGCATTGAGCCAGAACTGAACAACCTAATTGCATTAGGAGACAAAATTGATAGCTTTAACTCCCTTTACATGCTTGTCAAAATGAGTCATCATGTGTGGACTGCACAAAATGTGGATCCTGCTTCTTTCCTCAGTACTACATTGGGAAATGTTTTGGTGACTGTCAAAAGGAACTTTGACAAATGCATTGTAAGTTTTTTGTTTTTTTTTTTTTTTAAGTAACTTAGAGTTCTAATGATTGCAAAAATAGGTAAATGTATTTAAATCAAGAGATTTTCAGCTTGCCATTGGGGGATCTGCTCTTCACATCTCTCAAAGCCCTGAAGCAAGGTGTCGGCTGCAATTTATATGAACAGAGTTTGATGATACTATACTGGCTACTTTCCCTTCTACACTTTGAATCTTGGCAAGTTCTGGAGCCCGTGGCGTAGAGGTAGCAGCTGCTTCAGAGATCCACTAGGTCAACTGAAATCTCAGTTAACTGGGGCACCTGAGTGGCTCAGTTGGTTAAACGTGTGTCTTTGGCTCAGGGCATGATCTTGTGGTTCATGAGTTCGAGCCCCGTGTCGGGCTCTGTGCTGACAGCTCAGAGCCTGGAGCCTATGTCTCCCTCTCTCTCTGCCCCTCCCCAACTCATACTCTGTCTCTCTCCCTCTCTCAAAAATAAACATTAAACAAAAATAAAACACTAAAAGAAATCTCAGTTAACCAATTAGGGACCACAGATCACAAGAAACGGCTGAAACTATCACTTAGATTTATTGTTGTTGTTGTTTTTAAAACATATTCTAATAAGAAAATTAATAATTGGATTATTTTAGTTGTTTAAATTTTTATTTAATTAGTTTTATTAGTTTACTAGTTTAATAGCTGTAATTAATAATCATATTGCTCTATTTTAAGAATACATTGTTCTTATAATAACTTCCAGTAATCATTATTTTCTTCCTTCTAGAAAAAAAGAAAAATTATTACCTATATTTGTCTGCTAGGTTTTGGTAAGTTTGTAGGTATGAACTGGGCTGTGCCAGGTTCCAAAATAAAAGGTTCATTTTATTAATGTAGCTAATATGTAAAATTTGATGGCTATCATTTGAATATTTCTACTGTGTAACCTCTAAGATATATCCAGTTCTTGAATACCCATAAAATAATGGGAGATAAAAACATTAAGGGCAATTAAAATCCATATTATTCTTACACTTTTTAAAAATAATATTTATTGAGTTTTTAAAGTATGAAGGCAGTATGTATGTGTTCACTATAGAAACTTAAATGTCACCTCAATAGACTTTGTTAATCCTCTTTCCTTACCACATGATTTCACTTGGGATTTTAAATACTTTGAAATTTGACCACTTAAGGCTTATCCTCTTCCCTCTTCCACCTTCCCCAGAGGTGATGATAAACTTGGAGGTTCTGACCACAAGCTGAGAGGGAAAAGGAAGAGCTGCTGAAGACGAAGATAATGAGTCCTGTGTGACATAGCAGGAACACTAAGTCATGAGGACACTATGCATTTCCAGATTATGAAGGCTTTGTTGCTTTTATTAGTAAAATATAACTTTATCTACCATCTGTCAGTCCAACAGAACATAATTGCTAAAAGCCTAGGATGTAGTGTCAGGTAAATGTAGATGTGGGTTCAAATGAAGTGCTTAGCACACTGCCTTGCACAGCAATAAGGCCTTACTAACTGATGGCTCATAATGGCGGTGGTGGTGCTCACACTGCTGCCAGTGGTAGTAATTAATAATAGTTTATTAAAGAATGTTCATGTTATTCTCAAAACAGAGCAGTGGAGAAACAAAGCAAAATTAACTTAGACAAAGGTGCAAACTCAAATATTTTCTCATAAAATTGCATATATTTCTAAAGGATCTATCTTTTGTCACTATAGGGAAGGATAGTTCCTTCTGCCGCCTCTCATCTCTGTGTCTTATTTTAACTCCTGTCTTCTCAGTGTCTGGTGGATTGTGTGTACTCCATAAGTGTTCTATGTTTTGGTATTTGGGACAAGATTAGGACCTAAGGCAGACCTTGAATGGGTCTGTTTGTATTGAGCCAAAAGCACGAATGTCAGATGGCTGTAGAAAATGGGATAGCACCTGTGTTTGGCTCTTCATTTGGTGGCCAAGATCAAAGTATCTGGTGTTCTTCAAAGAACAGGACTAAGAAAGCTAGCCTAGCCTGAACCAGAGCTAAAATAGGAAGTAAGTGACATATCAAGTACTACCAAGCTCAGCTCTGCAGTCCTATACATTCTTACCTGTGCTTAATTTGCTTTCCGGTATTCCTCACTTTAGTAATGCGGATTTGCGCCCTTAAACCTTTGAGAGTGATGTGATTTGGTTAAGTTGCCAAGAACAAAGCACAGATAAGCCTCACATGCTATGTGCCTCACATCAAAGTTATAGTCTTAATCACCGAGTAACCTCTGTGTCGAGTAATAAGCTGCAAGTAATGTGTACAATGAGCTTGAGAGAAATTTTATTTTTATAAGATTTAGTTCATTGATGGCTCTTTTTTTTATTTTACTTTTTTATTTTTTTTAATTTACATTCAAATTAGTTACCATATAGTGAAACAATGATTTCAGGAGTAGTTTCCTTAATGTCCCTTACCCATTTAGCCCATCCCCCCTCCCACAACCCCTCCAATAACCCTCAGTTTGTTCTTCATATTTATGAGTTTCTTCTGTTTTGTCCCCCCTCCCTGTTTTTATATTATTTTTGTTTCCCTTCCTTATGTTCATCTGTTTTGTCTCTTAATGTCCTCATATGAGTGAAATCATATGATTTTTGTCTTTCTCTGACTAATTTCACTTAGCATAATACCTTCCAGTTCCATCCACATAGTTGCAAATGGCAAGATTTCATTCTTTTTGATTGCCGAGTAATACTCCATTGCATCTATATATGTGTGTGTATGTGTGTGTGTGTGTGTACCACATCTTCTGTATCCATTCATCCATCGATGGACATTTGGGCTCTTTCCATACTTTGGCTATTGTTGATAGTGCTGCTATAAACATGGCGGTGCATGTGTCCCTTCAAAACAGCACACCTGTATCCCGTGGATAAATGCCTAGTAGTGCAATTGCTGGGTCGTTAGGAGAGCTCTATTTTTAGTTTTTTGAGGAACCTCCATACTGTTTTCCAGAGTGGCTGCACCAGCTTGCATTGCCACCAACAATGCAAAAGAGATCCTCTTTCTCTGCGTCCTCGCCAACATGTGTTGTCGCCTGAGTTGTTAATGTTTGCCACTCTGACAGGTGTGAGGTGGTATCTCATTGTGGTTTTGATTTGTATTTCCCTGATGATGAGTGATGTGGAGCATTTTTTCATGTGTCAGTTGGCCATCTGGATGTCTTCCTTGGAGAAGTGTCTATTCCTGTCTTTTGCCCATTTCTTCACTGGATTATTTGTTTTTGGGTGTTGAGTTTGATAAGTTCTTTATAGATTTTGGATACTAACCCTTTATCTGATATGTCATTTGCAAATATCTTCTCCCATTCTGTCGGTTGCCTTTTAGTTTTGCTGATTGTTTCCTTCACTGTGCAGAAGCTTTTTATTTTGATGAGGTCCCAGTAGTTCATTTTTGCATTGATGGCTCTTTTCTTAAATGAATGCATTGTTTCTATTCTATGAGTTACAAAGTCAGAAAAGACAAATGTCATTTAGAATATTTCCTTTTTTTTTTTTTTTAATGTTTATTTATTTTTGAGAGAGAGTGTGAGTAGGGAAGGGGCAGAGAGAGAGGGAGACACAGAATCCAAAGCAAGCTGCAGGTTCTGAGCTGTCATCACAGACCCACTGTGGGGCTCAAACTCATGGACCGTGAGACCATGGCCTGAGCCGAAGACAGACACTCAACCGACTGAACCACCCAAGGTGCCCCTAGAATATTTCCTTTTAATATTTAAGTATATTCATGCTATAATTACATCCTGTGCATTTTAATACCCCACTGGGCGCACCAGGGTTGCTCAGTTGGTTAAGCTCCAACTTCGGCTCAGGTCGTGATCTCACGGTTTATGATTTCGAGCCCCGCATCAGGCTCTGTGCTGACAGCTCAGAGCCTGGAACCTGCTTCTGATTCTGTGTCTCCCTCTCTCTCTGACCCTCCCTCACTCACGCGTGCTCTCTCTCTCTCTCTCTCTCTCTCTCCAGAAAATGAAAAAACATCTAAAAAAATTTAAGTGCCACACTAAACAAAAATCTTCATGCAGTTTAATAACAACCATAGGCCAGCATTCTAAATTAGTGCTCACTGTGTACCAGATGCTGATCTAAGCACCTGGCACACATTATCTCATCTAATCCTCACAACCTCCTCCCCCCTACATAAGGTAGATGCTCTGAGACGTTATGTTACTTTCTCCAGGTCAAAGTAATAGAGTTGGTATTCGTACCCAGACAGTCTGGTTCCAGTGCCTGCAGTCTTACACTACCCTCTCTACTGCATTCATTTTTACTCTTCACAGTTATCAATACTGATAAATAAATATTGGAATACAAGAATACCTCAGAAATATTTCAGCTTCAGCTGGGCCAGGCTACCACAATAGAGCTAGTATTACAGTAAAGCCAGTATTGCAACAAAGTGAATGCACATGAATTTTTTGGTTTCCCAGTACATATAAAACTTATTTTTACACTATAATTTAGTCTATTTAATGTTCAATGTCTAAAAAACAATATATATAAAAATATTTTATTGCTAAAAAATGCTGACCATCATCTGAACTTTTAGTGAGTTGTCATCTTTTCTCTGATGGAAGGTCTTGACTCCAGGTTTATGGCTGCTAAGTGATCAGGGTGATGATTACTGAAGGCCGGGGTGGCTGTGGCAGTTTCTTAAAATAAGACAACAATGAAGTTTGCCCCATAAATCAACTCTTCTTTTCACAAACAATTTCTCTATAGCATGGGATGCTGTTTGATAACATTCTATCCACAGAACTTCTTTCAAAATTGGAGTCAGTCCTCTCAACCCTGCCGCTGCTTTATCAACTAAGTTTATGTAAATTCTAAACTTAGTTCTAAATCTGTTGTTGTCATTTCAACAGTCTTCACAGCATCTTTAACAGAAGTATGTTCTATCCCAAGAAACCACTTTCTTAACTCATCCATAAGAAGCAACTCCTCATTTATTAAAGTTTTATCATGAGATTGTAGCAATTCGGTTACATCATTAGGCTCCACTTCTAGTTCTCTTGTTATTTCCACCATATCTGCAGTTACTTCCTCCACTGAAGTCTTGAACCCTTCACAGTCATCCATGAGGGTAGAAGCATCTTCTTTCAAACTCCTGTTCATGTTGATGCTTTTGACCTCTTCCCATGAAACACAAATGTTCTTATTGGCATCTAGAATGGTGAATCCTCTTCAGAAGGTTTTTAATTTATTTTGCCCAGATTCATCAGATACAAAATTTTTTTCTTTTTTTTTTATGAATTTTTTTAACGTTTATTTATTTTTGAGACAGAGAGAGACCGAGCATGAATGGGGGAGGGTCAGAGAGAGGGAGACACAGAATCCAAAACAGGCTCCAGGCTCCAAGCTGTCAGCACAGAGCCCAACGCGGGGCTTGAACTCACGGACCGCGAGATCATGACCTGAGCCGAAGTCGGCTGCTTAACCGACTGAGCCACCCAGGCGCCCCAAAATATTTTTCTTAAATAATAAAACTTGAAAGTTGAAATGATTCCTTGATCCATGGGCTGCAGAATGGATGTTGTGTCAGCAAACACGTAAACACCATTAATCTCATTGTGCATCTCCATCAGAGCTCTTGGGTAACCAGGTGCGTTGTCATTGAGCAGTCATATTTTGAAAGGAATCTGTTTTCTGAATAGTAGGTCTCAACAGTGAGCTTGAAATAGTCCATAAATCATGTTGTAAAAGATGAGCTATCATCCAGGCTTTCTTATTCTATTTATAGAGCAGAAGCAGAATAAATTTGCATAATTCTCGAGGGCCCTACGATTTGGGGAATGGTAAATGGGCATTGGCTTCAACTTAAAGTCACCAACATTAGCCCCTAACAAGTGAGCCTGCCCCAAGGCTTTGAAGCCAGGCATTGATGTCTCTGTACCTATGAAAGTCCTAAATGACATCTTCTCCCAAAATAAGACTGTTGTGTCTACACTGAAAATCTGTCGCTCAGTGTAGCCACTTTGATTAATGATATTAGCGAGACCTTCTGGGTAACTTGCAGCTTCTACATCAGCACTTGCTGCCTCACCTTGCACTTTATGTTATGGAGACGGCTTCTTTCCTTAAACCTCATGAACCATCCTCTGCTAGCTTCAGACTTTTCTTCTGCATCTTCCTCACCTCTCTCAACCTTCATAGAATTGAGAAGAGTTAGGTCCTTGCTCTGGATTAGGCTTTGGTTTAAGAGGATGTTGTGGCTGGCTTGATCTTCTATCCTGACCACTCAGATTTTTTCCGTATCAGCAATAAGGCTAATTTGCTTTCTTACCATTTGTGTGTTCACTGGAGTAACACTTTTCATTTCCTTCAAAAACTTTTTCTTTGCATTCACAACTTGACCATTTGACGCAAAAGGCCTACCTTTCAGCGTGTCCTCTTTTGATATGCCTTCCTCACTAGGCTTAATCATTTTTAGTTGTTGATTTAAAGTGAGAAACGTGTGGATTATTCCTTTCCCTTGAACACTTAGAGGCCATTATAGGGCTATTAAATGGCCTCATGTCAATATTGTGTCTCAGAAAATAAAATTGTGTCTAGGCCTGAGGAGAGGGAGGGAGATGGAGGAATGGCTGGTTGGTAGTCAGAATACACACATTTATTGATTAACTCTGCCAGCTTATACGGACATGGTTTGTGGCAAGCCAAACAAAAGATCATGCATCACAGAAGATCCTTACAAATATAATAATAATGATCAAAAAAGCTTGAAATATTGCCAGTTACCAAAATGTGACACAGAGACGTGAAGTTAGCAAATGCTGTTAGAAAAAAGTGAAGCGCAATAAAATGGGTATGCCATAGTAATAAAGATAATATCAAATGGGTGACAGTGCTCCACAGGACTTTCTAATACTAACATCTGTAGCCTGGAAGTAATTACTTTTCTAAGCCACATGTCATTTGATTTTCAAGTTATACCCCCAAAATGATTTATGAAATTTTAGGTAGAAGTAAAAATGATCTTATAGTATTTAGCAGTGTAATTCTTACTGTGAATATATCTAGATCCTCTGAGAAGTACACAGAACCGTAATTGAATTTGTGGATCTTTTTGACCCAAATGTCTAGGTTTTGTCTATATGAGATATCCCTTTTTTACTTTGTCAACATCGCACACAAGCACTTTGCTGAAATAATTTTAGAATAAGTAACTGATGGATACATGGAAAACTATATAGTATGTAAATCCGTAGTAGAAATGCCTGTTCTCCCTCTCTGTTCTCACACCCAGAAATTAAAGAACTGCTCTGTCCAAAATTTAGGCTAATGAGAATTGGAAATGACTATGGTTCTCAAACTTGGCCACATGGCCACCAACCAGAAATAACCTAGAGGAATCCTGTGTGTGCTCTGTTATCTAGTCTGCCCCAAGATAAACAATTGCCTTATACTTACCTTTCATGAATAACAGAATTGTTATTGCTTGTTTTTCTTTGAACAAATAAATACTTGAGGTTCACAAGGTTTGATTGTATCTTGTTTTAAATAATTTGGATTTTTTTTCCTTGATGTTATTTTCTTAAAATATATGTACTTTTTTAAAATTTGAAGTTTTTATTTAAGTTCTAGTTAGGATACATTTACAGTAAAATTGGTTTCAGGAGTAGAATTCAGTGATTCATCACTTACATATAACACCCAGTGCTCATCACAACAAGTGTCCTCCTTAATACCCATCACCCATTTAGCCCATCCCCCGACCCACATACCTCCATCAACCCTCCGTTTGTTCTCTATGGTTAAGAGTCTCTTATGGTTTTAATTTATGAAAATAGTTTTTCTTGGTTATCCCTATCATATTAATCTGTAATTAGTAAACATCCAAAATGTTCTAGGTACGAAATTATGTCCTGCCACTATGATGTATACATTTGCTTATGACTATATGTTGTTTCTAAGCTGCCTGGCTCTTTTTCTCCCTTGCTTTCTGCCTAACATTAGAGTAATCAAATAAGGCAAATGGAAGAAGTAAAGATCTCAAAAAAGAGTAAAGTAGGAATTCTTCCATTTGTTGCTGAATTTGAAGAATTTGCTGGACTCGCAGAATCAATCTTTAAAAATGCTGAGCGTCGTGGAGATCTAGATAAAGCATATACCAAACTTATCAGAGGAGTATTTGTTAATGGTAAGCTTTTGTTATGTTCTAAAGAATTTTTTGGTTGGTTGTTTTCACTATTATGGTAATTCAAGTTGGAGGATAGATACGTTCATTTTTCATATTCTATAGTCTTTTTTAACTTTCTGAAAGTAATTATTTCTTGAACCTGAAAAATAAAACCCATTCATATTCATCAGGAACCACTTCTATTTTAGGGTTCATAAGGGCTTATCACTATGCAAAATTGAAATTCCTTTTTTAATCCCCAAAAATGACCTTTTAAAAAAATTTAAAAATTAAAAATGAGATTTTACATTTGCATCTTAGCAAATGTCTGTGTAACCTTAAGCAAATCAATATACTTCTTTAGGCCTCAGTTTTCATTTCTGTCCCATAAGGTAGATTAATGCTAAAATACTATATAATTCACTGTCTTCCTGTAGTATCAGATCCCACAATTAAGTTACAGAAACAGTAGGATGTGCCATTTAGTTTCAGATAAATGATCTGATTGCATGTAGTCAGGAATTTTAAAAGCTGAAACAATTGACAGGAGGAGGAATCATCTTACCAATTACATATAATATTTTCGGTGGGATCAGGTCAAGGGAAAGATGGATAAATTACATGATTGGATGTTTGTATGGTTGAGATTTCTTTTGAAATTCACAGTAGCTTTTCTTTGTCTGATTGTAAAGTAATACATGTTCATTACACACCCCCAAAAATAAAAAAACAAATTTTAAAAATCAAGAAGAAAATAATTTGTAATCTCATCAGGCAGAGATAACATTTAATTTTTATCCTTCCAAACTGTTTAATATTTCTCCTTCATATATATGTGTATGTTGAGTGTGTGTGTGTGTGTGTGTGTGTGTGTGTGTGTTCTTTAATATAACCTGCTACTCCATAATTCTAGTGCCTTTCCTTGTCAATTTATGTTATTACTATAATCATTTTCATGACCGCATAGTATTCCATGTGTTATTATTTATCAAATCTCCTATTAATAAGCATTTAGTTTGTTTCTAATTTTTTGCATATATTTTTGTATTCTTGTCCAGTCATTTCCTTGAGGTAAATTACTGGAAATGGAATTACCAGGTCAAAAGGTTTGCATATATCTCAAGGCCTTTGCCAAATTGCCATACAGAAAGGTTAAACCAGTTTAGTGTTCTGAACGGTTGGTGAGAATTTTCATCACATCTCATTAATGCTGGATATTAGTAGATATTATCAGTCTTTTTATTCTTTGTTGACCTAATAGGCTATAAATTGATTTTGTTTATGGTTGGGGTTTTTTTTGTTTTTTTTTGTTTTTTTTTTTTTACCATGCAAGAGCTTTGAAATTTCATGTCAGATTTATTTATCTTTCCCTTTATGACTTCTAAGTTTTTGGACCATTCTTAAAAAGGTCATGCTATCACAAAAGTTTTTTTTTTTCTTAATTAGCTTTATTTTCCCTGGTACTTGTGATTGTATTTGTTTATTTATTTGCTTTCTACATTTTTAAGTACTTGAGCAATTTAGAATTTCTTTGGCTGAAAATTGCAAATAGGAATCCAGATTTAGTGTATTTGAAATATTTGTATATATGCAAATGTGTATATATACACATTTATATACACACACACACACACACACACACATATATGACTGTTTTAGAGTGATTTTTTAATTAGATTTAAGTGGATATGAAAACCCTTTAGTATATTTTATTAAGTCCAGAAATGTGCTTACTTCTTAAACTTACAAATGAAAAAAATCATGTAAATATTTTTATAGCTAAATATGGTCCTATTCATATCAAAATGTTATTATATTTTTTCTCTTTTTGATTTTAGTGGAGAAAGTAGCAAATGAAAGCCAGAAGACCCCCAGGGATGTAGTTATGATGGAAAACTTTCACCATATTTTTGCAACACTGTCTCGTTTGAAAATCTCATGTCTAGAAGCTGAAAAAAAAGAAGCCAAACAAAAATACACAGATCACCTTCAGTCTTATGTCATTTACTCTTTAGGACAACCTCTTGAAAAGCTAAATGTAAGTATATTTTCATTCAGTGAATTTTCCTGATTTTGAACCTGTAAATCATATATTTAGATATGAATAACACAAACATTCATACTAATTTGCTCATGTATTGATGCAAAAGGATAAGGAAGGAGGGACTCAGTTATCAAAGGTTCCAGTGTGCTAAGACACTATTAGGTGCTCTATACCTTATTTTAATTCTTGCGAAAAATGATCTGGGCTAAGGTAGCATCAACCCATTTTACAAATGAAGAAACTGAAAGTAAATAAACTTGCTTGAAGTCATAATAACTGGCAAATAGCAAAGCTGGGGGAGTGAACCCTAGATTAGGCTTTTCCATTGTACCAGGTTCTCTTTTTTCCTCATAAATGGCTCATGTCTAACCCTAGTTCAAATGAAGATTTTGAAAACTTTATCAAGATAAAAAGAAAACCAAAAATTGCTTTTTTCATTGCCTTTTTCTTTCACTTCGTTTTCTGAAGTGAGTCATTCTCCAGAGCATATTTGATTATTACAATTAAGAATGGATGGTTTTAGAGAACTTTACAATAGTGGAAGCTTCAGTGGACCCTTCTAGATAACTTTGTCCACAATGTGATTAGTGCTCTTTCATAAGTTTTTAACTTGAAATTAGAGCCAAAATATATATATGTTGTCAACAACAAATGCTTAAAAGACATTTAATCAAATCCACAACCAATTCCTTCTAAAACTTAAGAACAGACAGATATTATTTCTCTAGGGTAAAAGGTCTTTCTCAGACCTAAAGTCTACTTGGTACTTAACTGCAACATTAGAACCATTCCCTTTGAAATAAAATTTAAAGCAGAATCATTGCTAGATCCTTTAATATTTAACATTGTTACGGAAGCTCTAGCCAATGCAGTAAGACCAGAAACATAAATAAAAGATATGGAAAGGAAAGTTAAGGTTATAATTACCTATATATAATAGGTTGAAATTACTGATCTATGATAAAGTAGCAGGATTTGAAATAAGTGTATAAAAAAATAATTTATTTCTGGTATGTTATAACAAGCAATTAAAAGGTTATGGAGAAACAGGGGCACCTGGGTGGCTCAGTCAGTTCAGTGTGTGACTCTTGATTTTGGCTCAGGTCATGATATCACAGTTTATGAGATCAAGCCCTACATAGGGCTCTGCACTGCCAACACAGGGGCTACCTGAGATTTTCTCTCCCCCCCACCCCCAGTGCTTCCCTGCTTGCATGTGCACATGCACACACACAATCTCTCTCTCTCTCTCCTTGTCTCAAAATAAACAGATGAACTTAAAAAAAAAAAGTTTATGTAGAAACAAAATTTTTAAAAGCACCAGGAATAAATTTATCAAAAAAATTATTAGCAAAAGCATAATAATTTAATGAAAAACAAATAGTACTTGCCAAGAAAATTTTAGAGAAAAGTAACGAGGGGAGATTTGGCTTGTCAGCATTAAATCATATTGTACAGTACTCACATAAAGGCGTGTCAATCAATAAAACTGCATATTTAAAAAACAAATATATTTCAAAGACGACCTGAAATGAATATTTGTAACAATACAATAGTCAGTATATTTAATATAAAATGCCTTTTTAAAATCAATAAGGAAAGCACTGAGATCCCAATGTATAAATGGGCAAGGGTTCTGAATATACTATAAAATATGAAAACAGGTTAATTTCATTTATAGCCAAAGAGTCGTGAAATAAAACAACAAATAAACCTTTTCACTCATCAAAATGTAGTTTCTTTAAATTGTGGTAATTCTGATGATTATGTGGTAAATAGCAGTTTCATGTCCTATTGATAGAAATATAAATTGATTGAACTTGGAAGCAAATTATGTATTTGAAGAATCTTCAGAATACTTAAAATGATGCTCCTCAACTAAGGAATCATAGACCTTGAAATTTGTACTGGAAAGTAATCAGTATTGTGGGTAAATACTTTTGTATGAAAAATATTTATGACCACTGTGTGTACAATAAATTTCTTTTAATTGGAGTAGATTTTGCCAACTCTGAAAAAGTGAAAAATGTTAAATATCCAATACAGGAGCAATGAATAAATTGTAGTTCAGCCATTAGATAGAACATTATGCAGCTGTTAAAATTTATAGTTTGGAGAAAACAAAATATTAAATGGGAAATACAACATATAATATAACCTAATTTATATATTTACAAGAAAAGACTAGAAGGAAATCTAAAATGTTAACAGTGGTTATCTCTGAGTAGTGTGATACATTTTTAATATATTTTCTGAGTTTAATACAGTGAATAAATACTATTTTATAATGAGGGTTTTTTTTTTTAATTTAAGTGGTAATAAAAGCAGTGCTTAGCCATTATTTCTTTTCATTTCCTTGAAGCATTTCTTTGAAGGTGTTGAAGCTCGCGTGGCACAGGGTATAAGAGAGGAGGAAGTAAGCTATCAACTTGCATTTAACAAACAAGAACTTCGTAAAGTCATTAAAGAGTATCCTGGAAAGGAAGTGAAAAAAGGTCTAGATAACCTCTACAAAAAGGTTGATAAACATTTATGCGAAGAGGAGAACTTACTTCAGGTATGCTTAGTTCCTTTAACCATCCTAGATTGCACATCTTTACATATATTGCTTTTCTCCAGGAGTCATCTAGAAAGGCTACAGATTTTCTATTTTAGTGCAGGAGGAAAGTTCCATAAATTATAGGCCAGATTAATGAGTTGTGAGGAAGAAAGGAACAACATTGATAATATAAGTTTATATGGCTATTCCTGTTTATCTTATATTTCTGCTTTATTGTTTTGAGACATTAGTTGTTTTGCTTAGGGCTGTGGGTTTTTTTGAGGTTTTTGTTTGTTTGTTTTTTAGATTTGAGGAAGGTAACTAAATGGAATAGAGCATAGTACAGCGGAGTGATGCTGAGCATGGGGGCCAGAGTTAGAAATGCAGCTCCAGATTAAGTTGTATGACTTTAGGCAAGTCGCTTAACCTCTCTGAGCCTCAATTTTCTTATTTGAAAAGTGGAAATAATACCTCCCTCATATAGTGGACACTACTATTCTTGTCATTGCCATTTTACAGATGAGAAAATCAAAAGCTTAGGGAGGTGGAGTAGCATGACCAAGATCTCATAGCTAACGGATGGTAGAGCCAGATTTAAACCCCAAATTGAGCCATTTTTCTTAAACCATACTGAAAGACCCAGACGTGAGTGAGAATAATTCAGATTTCAACATCATCAAAGGCTTCATGAGGGTTATTGCATTTGTGTCAGCCTCTGAAATTCAGGGAGGTACAGATAAAGCAAAAGGAGTGACATTCCAGGTGGAAGAAATACCATGAGCTAAAAGATGTAAAGCCAAAAGTGTAATACTCTTTAGCAAATAGACTTACGGTGACAGGAATTTAGTATTTATGATGTTTAGGGTTTATGAGGAAAAATCCTGGAAGAATACTATCTGTTGGATAGTGATGATGGTCATAGCACCCACCCTCACCAGCTAGTCATGAGATGTAAATAGGATGATACATATATAAAGCCTTTGTACTGTGCTGATACACAGTAAGCATCAATAAATGTAACCTGTTATGGATGCCTGGGTGGCTCAGTCATTGAAAAATCCAACTCTTGATATCGGCTCAGGTTGTAATTTTGTGGTTATGAGATTGAGCCCTACCTTGGGCTCTGTGCTGAGCATGGATTCTGCTTGAGATTCTCTCACTCCATCTCTCTCTGTCCCTCCCCTGCTCACACTCACTCTCTCTTTCAGAAAAAAAATAAACATTGAGATAATAAATAAATAAATAAATGTAACCTGTTAGTATTAGCTAATATGTCAATGTAAAATCAGATTCTGCCTTGATAGGTGTCTACATAGTTATTCCCACTGCTAAATCATAAACCCTTGGATCGCAGATAATCCATCTTGGTGTCCTTCATAGCATCAAGCAATGTTTTGTATCCTAAATTTTAGCTAAAGAACTTTTTAAACTTTCATCTGAAATGAAATTTAAGCATTAACTGTTGCATTCCATTTAATTACTAGTCTTAGTTCCATATATAATTGTGTAAATACACATCTGTATTGGATATTGTAGTAGATATAATAATGGCTAAAATGTAATGAGTGCTTGCTATGTCAAACATGTTCTAAGCACTTTACATACATGCACTCATTTAATCCTCACAAGAAACTTATGAGGAAGGTATCATTGTTACTACCCCGGCTTACAGATGAGGAGCTTGAGGCACAGGGTAGTGATTCAACATAATCAGGGTCACATATGTTGTAAGTCTAAGGAGCCAGGGTGCATGTTCTTAACCATTACACTGCTAAATTCTTAGAATATGTCTTGACATTATTTCTCCTTAACTTGATTATATATTTCCATTCATAATTTAGTAACTTATTTTCATTTTTATAATAGGTGGTGTGGCACTCTATGCAAGATGAATTTATACGCCAGTATAAGCACTTTGAAGGTTTGATAGCTCGCTGTTATCCTGGATCTGGCGTTACGATGGAATTCACCATTCAGGACATTCTAGATTATTGTTCCAGCATTGCACAGTCCCACTAAAACAGAAGAGATAGATGAAAGAAGTGTCTACTATTTTGTGTGTGTGTGTGTGGAAAGAAAAGATTTAGGTGCTAGGTTGCCCCTGCTGCTTTAAGTCAACAGACTGGATAGGAGGAGTGGGTATATGCAACTTCCCTTACCTGTGTAACTAATAACATGAGACTTCCCTGTTACAGGTGGTCGCTTGGCCATATGTGCTAACAGGGGCATGTGAAAGGAAAAACAGCAAATTGAGTGTCCCAGAAAGTGAAAGATAAATGAAAAAAACGCTGGGTACACCAGACACTATTCAAAATGATCAAGTAACTGTCTTGAGAACCCAGACTTGAACTTTATGTATTATTAAATGTCAGGTAAATGGGTAATACCATACTACAAATATTCAAGAACAAAAGTACCAATTTATGTAGCAGTTTTATTTACCCAGTAGGTTGTGTACTAACTTAAAGCATTTCTCTCATCATAAAATGCCTTTAGCATTCTTCTGTAACTGAACAGAAAGTTTTCTTTTATTGCCTAGTTTCTTGTATTTGAGAATAGTTATCCTGTGTGTAATGCATTGAAAGTTCTTCAGTTTTCACCAATTCACTATTGCTTTCAAATCATGTAACTACTAAAATATTGTACAGAATTTTTCCCTCTGTCTAACTAATGTGTATATGGACAGGGATCTTGTGATGATCAGTTGTAGACTTAGATTTTGAGGATTATGTGACTCTGTGTAGCAATGAATCTGAAATAAAGACATTTTCAAAAAAAAATTTTTCAGAAAAGTTAAAATTTGGTAATATCATTCTTAGATCTGTTATTTGCTATTTTTTGTATAAAAGCAAATTCTTATAAAATCAGTAAACAAAAATTACATGTTCATTTACCATAAAACACTTAAGAGTATAATAAGAAAAATGAAACCATTTATAATAGCATCAAAAATATTTAGTATTTAGGACTAAATCTAACAAACCATTGTACTATTAACTGAAATGTATCTTCTCAGAATTCCTATGTGGAACCCCTAACCAGCATCCCCTCG